CTGAGCATTTGTTCGAGAGGCGAACAAGTCGATAGAGAACGGGCCAAGGTCGCTCTCTAGTCTCAGGAAAACTTCTATGTTCAGTCTCAGGTCGCTGGAGTCCACCAGGTGCCGTGATAACTGTAACGAGTACATAGGATTGTATACCTGTATACTCTCGTGACTGCACGTGATGTGTCAGATTCTGTACCGTGGGCATTCTGTGTGAATGGTGGTTTGAGCTAACTGGCAGCCGTCTCTATGCCTGCACATCCACGCGTTACATGGTGGCAGCGGTGGGATAACGCCATCGGCAACCGTCTGACACGAACAACATGGCGTCGAACTACACGCTCCCTCCCCCGCCAGTACTAGAAATCCACGACCAGCAAGCGGCCGAGAAATGGAAAAAGTTCAAGCTCGCCTGGACGAACTATTCTCTGGCCACTGGCCTGAGCGACAAGGCCGAGCCAGTTCAAGTGGCTACGCTATTAACCGTCATTGGTGAGGAGGCACGCGAGGTGTTTTCCACATTCTCAGGTTGGGCGCACGACGGCGACGAGGAGAAAATCGCACCAGTCATCGCGAAATTCGAACAATACTGCCAACCTCGTCGAAACATCCCGTTCGAAAGATACCGCTTCAACCGCCGATCGCAGGAATCCGGAGAGACGTATGATCAGTACAGAACGTCACTACGGAAAATCGCAGAAAATTGTGATTTTCGTTCCATCTCTCCAGACGAGATACTACGAGACCGTCTGGTCTTTGGTATTCGTGACTCCAAGACCAGGGAGCGCCTACTCAGGGCCAGTGATCTCACGCTGAAGACGACAGATGAGATCTGCCGCTCAGCAGAAAGTATGCTGGCCCAGATGAAAGTTGTGGAGGACAGCTCTCCCAGCAACCCTGTGAGTGTTGTCAATGAACGTCAGACTAGACAACCAGGTGGGGGTCAGGGTAACAGGCGGGGAAAGGAATGTTGGAACTGTGGCCGCAAGCACGACTTCCAGAAGAGGGAGTCCTGTCCCGCATTTGGCAAGACATGTTCCAAGTGCCACAAGCCCAACCACTTTGCGGCAAAGTGCCGCAGCACGGTTCCCCCCTCGGTGCGCCCCGTCACGGATTCTGTGCGGACCGAGGACCCCGGACGAGATCTTTCAGACACACGTGGCAACAACTACTCTGGATGACTCCCAGCTGGTCACGCTGAGACTCGACTCTGGCAACTACATACGATTCCAGGTCGACACTGGAGCCCAGTGTAATGTTGTGCCGCTGGGAATCTACAAAGAGGCTACTGGGGACCGACAACTCGAGAATGTCACACCATCCCAGACGCGCATCACTGCCTATGGGGGTGCTACTCTTCCGGTCATGGGCACCGCTCTTCTCCGTGTGTCACGCGGTGACTTCCGCTGCCGACTAGATTGCAAGCTGGTGGATCACAAAGATGTGCGCCCATTGCTAGGGATAAAGGCTTGTGTGGGCATGAAAATCGTGTCATACCTTGATAATGATCACCTGAACAAGCCAAACACAGGCAACTCCCGCGTCTACACTGTGGAGGAGTCAGGCCTACTGGCGGTCAAACAGCTCATCGACGAGTACCCAACCGTTTTCAGCGAAGGGGTAGGCCGCCTTGAAGGTCAGTATCAAATCCGACTCGACCCGAGTATTCCATCAGTGCAACACCCACCCCGACGAGTCCCTGTGCCTTTGCGAGACATACTCCAGCGCACTCTGGGGGACCTGAACAACCAGGGAATCATAGTACCTGTCCAAGTACCCACACCCTGGATCAGCTCTATGGTGGTCGTCCCGAAAAAAAATGGCACTTTGCGGATCTGCCTGGACCCCCAGGACCTCAACAAGGCTATACAGAGGGAGCACTACCCCTTACCTACGATCGAAGACATCGCCACCCGTCTGCATGGGGCAAAGGTCTTCACAGTCCTAGATGTGAGCAAAGGTTTCTGGCACATTGAACTGGATGAGCCATCCTCGCTCCTGACAACGTTTAACACCCCATTCGGTCGGTACCGCTGGAAGCGAATGCCTTTCGGCATTAGCTCGGCTCCTGAAGTGTTTCAGCGCCGGATGCACGAGCTCATCGAGGGTCTACAGGGGGTTGAAGTAGTCGCCGACGATTTCGTGACCGTTGGTTTTGGGGAAACAGTCAACGCAGCTACCCATAGCCACGATCGAAACCTGACAGCTTTCCTACAGCGCTGTGCTGAGAGAGGGGTGAAGCTGAACCCTGACAAGGTGCAGCTGCGGCTAAGCAAGGTACCATTCATTGGTCACATTGCCACTGATAAGGGCCTATGTGTAGACCCCACCAAAGTTCGTGCCATCACAGAAATGCCACCCCCAACCGATGTGGCCGGTGTACAGCGCCTTCTAGGAATGATACAATATCTATGCAAATTCCTTCCTCATCTGTCAGACCTAACAAAGCCGTTGCGTGATCTGACACAGAAAAACACCGAGTGGGTCTGGGATCACCCGCAGCAAGAGGCTCTCAGGAAGCTGAAGAGTGCAGTAGCCAGCACACCAATTCTGAGATACTACAATCTGCAAGAGGAGGTAACTCTCCAGTGCGATGCATCCCAATTCGGCCTCGGTGCAGCAATGATGCAGAATGGCCAACCGGTGGCTTATGCATCACGGGCATTGACAGCTGCAGAAACCAGGTATGCTCAGATAGAGAAAGAGCTACTCGCCATCGTCTTCGCCTGTGACCGTTTCGAAGCTTATGTATACGGCCGAAGAGTGGTCAATGTGGAAACCGATCACCAGCCACTGGAGATGATCGTGCGAAAACCACTGAATAGCGCTCCCAAACGCCTCCAGCGGATGCTCTTGCAGTTACAAAAGTACAGCCTCGTGGTGCACTACAAGAAGGGGAAGCTGATGTACTTAGCAGATACGCTCAGCAGAGCTTACCTGCCGGAAACTCACTGCTCTTCTGTGGCCCTCGAAGTGGCTACCCTTGACCCCTCTACAGGTCTGGCACTGTCACAAGCGAGGCTGCACCAGTTCAGACATGCCTCCACAGATGACCCTACTCTTATCACGCTTCGCAGGACTATCCAGCAGGGCTGGCCAGCAAGCAAGTCCGGCCTCGCAGAGTCTCTGCACCCATACTACGACTTCCGTGATGAGCTCACCACTCAGGACCAGCTTGTCTTCAAAGGGTCCCTGGTGGTTGTTCCCATTGCTCTGCGGAGAGAGATGATGTCAGTGTGTCATGCAACACATGTTGGTGTGGAAGGCTGCATCCGAAGGGCAAGGGAGTCCATGTTTTGGCCCCGCATGGCCACCGAACTCAAGGAATACATTTCGAAATGCGAGACCTGTGTGACACACCGAGCCCTACCACAGAAGGAGACGTTCCTGCAACACGACATCACCCCAAGACCTTGGGCCAAGGTTGGCGCAGATCTCTGCGAGATACAAGGACGTACTCTTCTGGTGGTGTGTGACTATTTCAGTAATTTTGTTGAGGTGGAGAGCCTTCCGACAACCACAACCAGAGCTGTGTGCAAAGCGCTTAGAGCCCTCTTGGCACGGTATGGAGTTCCCGATGTGCTGGTGACTGACAATGGGCCCCAATTGGCGTCTGCCGAGTTTGCCACCTTCGCAAAGGTCTGGGGTTTTCAACACCAGACATCGTCACCACACTACCCGCAGTCGAATGTTGTCAAGACTGTGAAGCGACTGTTTGCCAAATGCCGCGAGTCTGGTCAGTCGGAGTTCCGTGCTCTATTGGATTGGCGAAACACACCAACTGAAGGAATTGGCACCAGCCCAGCACAACGATTTCTGGGGCGCCGGTGCCGAACGCTGTTGCCAATGACCAACGCTCAGCTAATGCCACTGTATCCAACAGCAGATGCTGCTCGAGCCCTGCAAGGCCAGAAGGCCAAGCAGCAACACCACTATGACAAGCACGCTCGAGACCTTTCCCCAATCACAGCTGGTGATACGGTCAGGATGCGTCTCCCTGGCCAGAAAACATGGACCCCGGGGATCTGCACTGGGCTTCTGGGACCCAGGAGTTATGGGGTTCGAGTTGGCGACCGTGAGTACCGCCGGAACCGAAGACAGCTACTTCATACAAAGGAGCAACTGCCTCGTGAGTCACCTATAGTGGAACTGGGATCAGACACTCCGGTGGCTGGTCAGGAAGATAGCCCCAGCATGGGTGAGCGTCCTGATAGGTCAGAGGCACCAGATCCACCAGAGTCACCAGCTCCTCGGGATCACATCGAACTTGGTATGAACACACCAGCGCATACGGAACCCAACCCGATTTCGAACATGCCCGCGCAACAACTTCCCCGACGCTCAGAGAGAGTCCGCAAGCCACCAGACCGGCTTAGTTACTAATTGTTGAGTGAGTATATACTGTACCTTGTAAAACTACCTTACACGTTATGACAAGTGTAACTGCATGGCAATGATAATAAGAAGAAAAAAAAACAGAAAAAAAAACGGTTGCTTGTCTAATTTTCTTTACGTTACTTTCTGTAACCATCTTATGTCTGTATGGAAAGAGAGATGTAACGAGTACATAGGATTGTATACCTGTATACCTCGTGATGCACGTGATGTGTCAGATTCTGTACCGTGTGCATTCTGTGTGAATGGTGGTTTGAGCTAATCGGCAGCCGTCTCTGTGCCTGCACATCCACCCGTTACATGGTGGTAATGATATTCAATTATCATTCATTGCAGTGACTGTAGAGCTGTGTTTCTGAGTGAATGTCTCTGAAACTCACCTCCTCCCTCAGTAGAGCGAGTGAAGGTGGTGGAAGAGTTCCCAGCAGGGTTGAAGACTGTGACAGTGATGTCATAGCTAGTTCCACTCCTCAGCTTGTCGATAGTGTAGCTGTTCCGGTCTGCAGGGAGTGGTCCACTAGTCCCTCCCTCAGCATTGCGAACTTGTCGTCTTCTTCTCGTCTGCTCTGTTAGCTCCCAGCTCACCTCAGAGCCAGTTACATCAGGAGGAAGGCCCAGGAGATAGTGATTGTATCTGCTGTGGCCACAACGGCATCGGTGTCCACCACTGCCTGGGGTGGCTGGGCTGGAGTCGACACTGCAGAATTGAACACAGGTCAAAAGTCACACACTATACTTCCTTCCTATGACTCACCTAGTCTAACTTGTTTCATGATGGGGGAACTTGCCAGTTGGTTTGGAGACGTAGCTACAATGGATATGGTGTAGGTCTCTCCAATAGTAAGATCAGTAAGTTTCAAACGTGTAGAATCAGCACCGAGCTCTACCCTATCATGAATGCCTCCACCATCATAGTCAATTCTATAGCCAGTGGCATCACTGGATGGACCCCAAGACACTAGGATACTAGTGGGACCATCCTGGACTGCTGTCACACCAGTGGGAGGTGATGTTCCTGGAGAACTTGCCTGATAAAATCAGCTTATACACATAATAATAATATACCTTCTAATGAGATAGTAGCCGAAGCAGAGAAAGCAATATTAGACACAGTACATATGTAATCTCCTGCTGTGGTCACATTCAAGGTGTGAGTATATTTGGCAGTCACTGGGTCATTCAACACAGTCTGGGTTCCTTGGGTGACAGTGGTGGAGTCTCTGGTCCAAGTGACAGTGGTAGCAGGTCCACCAGTGGAGATACAGGTGAGGGTGAACTGAGGACTGGCTCCACTGGTGATGGAGTGTGGAGGAAGTGTAGATAGCATGATTTGACCTGAAAAGTAACCGAGTATTGTGATTGCACGTATAAAGTAGCATGTATATTATACCTCTTCCACTGGTGTACAGTCCTACATAAATTGAATGGGGTGTGGATTCTGCATCATTAATTGAACATCGATATATTCCTTCAGCTGCAGTATCAGTACCAGTGTTCCTCTTCAGTCTCACTACCATAGGACCTCTGTTTCTGTACGAATCCTGGAACATCAGTACGATCTTTGTCACCCACTCTGGTCCCATGTCTGGAGCAAACCAGTTTCCTCCAGAAATAGGACTACCAGATGGTGAAGGACGGTTAGTGATACACAGTAGAGCAGTGTTATCAGTGGAGCCAATATCACTGATATTCAAAAGGCCGTTATTAGGGATGACAGCTCCATTCAGACTGAGGAAGACATCTGTGGATGGAGTGAGTGAAGAGTACAACAGAAATTCAGAACACACATGTGGAATGTAAAATAGCATTCGTGAACAGCATCGCAAATAATTAATGATGATATGTGCAAATACGGTACTGGTGTCTCTTCAAAGTGCCGGACAATGAAAAAATTGTACTAGCATAATAATAGCTTTTCACCCACTTCTAACACACAATATCACGCAATCCTCAATGCATACGCAATCTGAAACTATAACCACAGAGTCTACTCACCATCAGGAGTCTGGATCGTGAGAGGATCACTGTAGACTCCAGTACCACCACTGGTGACTGCTGCCACTTGCACAGTGTAGACTGTCTCTTTAGTCAGTCCAGACACTGTGGTCATTCCTCCACTGGAGTCTCCTGACACCATCTGAACACTCCTGCCTTCCTCGCTGCTCCCCTCCTCCCCATACCTCACCCAGTAGCCTGTTATCTCTCCATTCTGATGTCTACACTCCACTGGTCCCCACTGGACTGTGATACTAGTGGAACTCTCCACTCTCACCACCACATCAGTAGGAGGGGCAGATGGAGCTGTGAGCATGGGAGAGAATATCAGGAGAGGGAACCTTGTGAGGTAAATTTACCAGCAGTCAGTGTGGTGGCTGTGGTGCTGCCTTCTTGAGTCCCTCCATTCCCAGTCAGAGTGGCAGTGACAGTGATAGAATACTCAGTTCCCTCCTCTAGACCAGTCAGAGTGTATGATGTCCCACTAGCAGAGATACCACTTCTGGAGTCAGTGAAACAGTCAGTGTTGGTGTTGGAGTAGGAGATGGTGTAGGAGGTAGCAGTCAAACTGTCCTCCAGTGTCCATGAGATGGTGAGGGAGGTAGAGGATGAGGGAGTGGCTGATACAGTGAGTCCAACTGTGAAGAATTCCAGAAAAGTGTTCAGTGATGACTGTGACTAACAACCGACTGAAACTTCAATTAAGAGGGGTCTTGTAGCTAAATTCAGTTGTGCTACTGTATGACATATGTAGCTTGATAGTCATTTGTTTGCTCGGCTTTGTACACATTCGTGCACTGCCCACCTTAATGCCACAAGACATTCTTTTTGTCTAGCAATCTGCTCTGGAATAGCGGAAGGAAAATGTTAACTTGTGTTGCACCAGGATTTATCCAAAGTAAATCAGCTGTGCTGATTGGCTCCCACATTTTTTAAACATGACATCAAACATTACACAATTTTGCACACAGTGATGTAAGGGAAATGGTCTGGGTAAAAACAGACACAAACATGCACCCTCTTCTTCTTTTCTTTGAAAAGAAAGAGCTGTCCTGGGTGTAGTTGACTTGTTTGCCTTGCCTTGCCTTTCTACCTCGCTACCAAGTTGTTGAGACATGCATGCACACAGTGTACCTGCTATAATGGTGCTAGCGGAACCAGAAGATGGCTTGTTATTAGCCACAGTACAAGTGTACACTCCTCCAGTAGTCACAGTCAGAGTGTGGGTGTACTGTGCAGTCACTGGGTCATTCAACACAGTCTGGGTTCCTTGGGTGACAGTGGTGGAGTCTCTGGTCCAAGTGACAGTGGTAGCAGGTCCACCAGTGGAGATACAGGTGAGGGTCAGCTGGCTAGTGTCAAATGTCACTCCTCCAGATATTGAAACATCTCCTGAACAAAGTACAGCAGAATTCCCATTAGCACAGTCACACATCCATTTCATGGCACTGGCAAGTATAGTATACTCTTGACTAGTGGGCTCTATAAAGAGTAAGCTACTCTTCTCATACCTCCACTGGCAGGATACAGTCCCACATAGACTGTGTCTCTCACTGAGATGTGAGTATTATCATGGACAGCAACAGTTGGAATATCACAGCGATAGATACCAGTCGGTGAGTTAGCATTAGTGCTACGACGTAAGTCAACTCTCTGAGCTAGACGAGTCCTAAAGGTATCAACATTAGATGCAGCGAAAGGCAATTGAGTTCCATCTGGGAAATACCAGTCTCCACGATGAGAACCCTGAGTTCTATTACAACATGTGGTCAGGTCAGTGATACACTGAATACCTTCACCACCACCAACATCAGGTCTCCCCACTTGACTGATGTCTACATAGGAATGGTTGGCCAGAGTCTGGCTCATGAAGGAGAGACGGGGAAAGGTCTGAGAGTGGACCTCCACCAGAGACCAGAGGAGACTCAACATCACTAGGTGGAAGCAAGAATACATGTCTTCGCAGCTATAATAGCTAGCTTCGCTTTGTTTCGTTATGCGCATGCGTAGAATAAACGCGCGTATGGATGAGGTTCAACGACAAAGAGCTGGGAGCCTGGGCGAGCGTGTTCTCCCCCGACAAGGAGGGTCTACTGGAGAAGAAGACATAAGTAGATAGTACATCATGGTACATTGTGTCGATCTCTAAACGCGCTGCAAGTGTACACGTTCTGCTGGTGTCTTACCATGCACATATTAGGAGATGAAACGATTCCCATGAAAGTTAACAAAAAACTACAAACAATATCGTTTCTGTTGAGGTGTACAAACTGACATAGTATTGACATTCATAATGTAGCAAAAACAATGTTCAGTGGAGCACAAGCCATGTCCACAGTCACACAGGTTCATAGTCTCCAGCAGCAGTAGTGGTAGGTTGAGTGGTGGTGGGGGGAGGAAGGTTTTGTGGTACTTCATAATCATCTTCAGCTGTCCTTCCAGTCCCTCTCACTACATTGTAGGCCTCATTACTGGTGGTCTGGAGCTGGTCTGGATCTCTGGAGTGAGGCCATCAGTGGTATAGAAATCATCTCACAGTGTTTCATATGGGGAGACTTACACATATGCTACTGCTGAGATCTTAGAGAGCTCCACTGATTGATTTGTAGCTCCAACTGTAACTCTGTATCAAATCCAATGACATAATTATTATGTCATACTAATGTAGATCCTGCCTTGTTTTTGCAGAGTAATTCCCACTGCGACTTCTCAGCATCACTACCACTATGACAGTTAGTGAAGTTAAAGTAGCGATTATAAGAACCACAGCCACGGCCACTACTCCACCGACAATGGCTGAAGTGTTCTCTGTACTTGAACGCTCTGTCTCAGTGGCTGGAACAAACAAAAGACAAAGTTAACAATGAAGCAAACTCTCATTTACCACCAGTGGAGAAAAGTATGGGAGTGCTGTCAGTGGTTCCAGCTACATTAGTGGCTGATACAGTGAGTGTGTAGATAGTGGAGGGGTCCAACTGGAGGATGGTGTAGGTAGTGCCAGACAGAGGACCACTGGTACTCTCAGTGCCTCTGTCAGTGGGTCTCCAGACCACCTCCCAACTGGCCACCATCCCACTGGACACACTCCAGGAGAGGGAGATGGAGGTGGCTGCTATGGAGCTCACCGACACAAACACCTGTCCTGGAGCTGGGACTGGAATAGGGGATTACATTTAGATGAACTGTAGGACCCTATCTCTCTTACTTAGTGTGATTTCAAATGTGGTGGCATCACTGAAGAGGTGTTCAGATGTAGCTACAATGGATATGGTGTATGTCTGTCCATTGGTGAGACCAGTCAGAGTGTAGCTGTTGGTATCTCCACCACTGACAGTCTGACTACCATTGCTGCCTCCAGTGTAGGAGATGGTGTAGCCAGTGATACCATCCAGAGGATCAGGAGGAGTCCAGGTCACTGTGATATTAGTGGGACCACCCTGGACTGCTGTCACATCAGTGGGAGATGGACCTGGTAGTATACTATCACCATAAAGTTTCAGTTTGCATATTGTACATGTACGCCTATTGAAAATTTGGTTTTGTAACGTTCAGTGATGACCGTGACTGATAAAACATAACAACCAACCGAAAATCACTTCTTCACTTACCCCTGGTCATGATAGTGATAGGCGTACTGTATGATCCTATACCAGCATTGTTGACTGCAGCCACCTGGACACTGTACTCAGTCGATGGAGTTAGTCCAGAGATAGTGGCTTGTCTAGCATCACCACCACATTAGCAGTCGCTTCTACCATTCCGTTCCTTAATGCCTGTGCTGTGTAGCCTGTTATCATTCCGTTTCGTAGCAGACAATCAACCTCTTCCCACCCGACAGTGATGCTATTGGGTGCAGCAGAAACCTCTGTGACTGAGTTTGGAGCACCATTAGGAGCTGGGGAGAATGTAGTATGTACAACAAAGGTGAAGGCTGGCAACATAAGATACAGCAACCTCTCACCTGCCTCATTGGTCCTAACAGTGATTGAAGTACTGTTACCACTACCAGCATTATTGGAGGCTCTCACAGTGATATTATAGCTGATACCCTCCTCCAGTCCCATTATGGTATAGGTAGCAGGGGAACCGTCCACAGTCATCATGCCATTATCAGAACACTCCACTGAGGTCCACATCACTACATAGCTGTCCACTACAGATCCAGCAGGAAAACCAACAGAGATAGTGATGGAGTCAGTGGAGGTGGAAGATCGAACGAGTTCTGGGTTGCCTGGAACTGAACAAACCATAGCGATGATTAACAGCTTTCAGTAAAACTGAAAACTTACCTAAACCAACAGCCATGCCTGCTGTCACAACCTGACTGGGTAAGTTGGCAGATGTGGCTACAATGGATATGGTGTAAGTCTCTCCATTCTGAAGATTCTCCAGAGTGTAGCTGTTGGTAGAGTCACCATCAATGCTCACACTACCACTGGGACCTTCACTACTGTCATAGTGGATCGTGTAGCCAGTGGCATCACTGGATGGAGTCCATTCAACTAGGATGCTAGTGGGATTCGTCTGTCTAGCTGCCACATTAGTTGGAGGTCCAGTTCCTAGAGGAGTGAAGAAATGCACATATCTATTTGCCCAACTGGTCTTGTTCCCAGACCCCACCCCTCTGTGAGGTAAAGAGGGGTCTGGTAGTTAACATCTGAGATCTCGGTTGTGCTAGCTAGGCCCCACGTAACACGGCTTCATAATTGTACAAATCCCCACATGTACTGCCACATTTATTCACATGACAGTTTGTATCCTATTGGCTTACCCGCTTTCTGAGCATGCTGACTCAGCACAATAGACATTAGGTACGAGACCTCTTTTGTACGGAATGATGTAAGGGTCTGGCCATAAGACTAGATTGCTAACCGTAGTAACAGACACAGACATGTATGCATACAGTGTACCTGTCACAGTAATGGTAGCAGAGGCAGAGGATGGCTTGTTATTAGCCACAGTACAAGTGTACTCTCCTCCAGTAGTCACAGTCAGAGTGTGGGTGTACTGTGCAGTCACTGGGTCATTCAACACAGTCTGGGTTCCTTGGGTGACAGTGGTGGAGTCTCTGGTCCAAGTGACAGTGGTAGCAGGTCCACCAGTGGAGATACAGGTGAGGGTCAGCTGGCTAGGGTCAAATGTCACTCCTCCAGATATTGAAACATCTCCTGAACAAAAGTGCAGCAGAATCCCCATTAGCACAGTCACACATCAATTTCATGGTACTGGCAAGTATAGTATACTCTTGGCTAGTGAGCTCTATAAAGAGTAAGCTACTCTTCTCATACCTCCACTGGCAGTATACAGTCCCACATAGACTGTGTCTCTCGGTGAGTTGGTAGTATCATCATGGACATCATTAGTTGGAATGTCACAGCGATAGATACCAGTTGGTGAGTTAGCATCAGTGTTACGGCGTAGGTCAACTCTCTGGGTTTCACGAACCTCAAAGGTATTAACATTTGATGCAGGAAAAGGCAGTCTAGTTCCATCAGGGAAATACCAGTCTCCACGATGAAAGCCCTGAGGACTAGTACAACATGTGGTCAGGTCAGTGACACACTGAACACCTTCACCACCATCACCAACATCAGGTCTCCACACTTGACTGATGTCCACATAGGAATTGTTGGCCAGAGTCTGACTCATGAAGGAGACATAAGGAAAGTTCTGAGAGTGGACCTCCACCATAGACCAGAGGAGACTCAACATCACTAGGTGGAAGCAAGAATACATGTCTTTGCACCTTTGTTTTTCGGTGTTGTTATGCGCATGCGTAGAATAAGCGCACGTATGTAGTTGGGCGCTAACGGAAAAAAATGAGGTTCAACGACAAAGAGCTGGAGCCTGGGCGAGCGTTGTTTTGTGCGACAAGGAGGGTCTACTGGAGAAGAAGGGGTGCGGGAGAGGACACGGGTGAGGCGAATCTCGCCGTCTCCCACGTAGCAATACGACGATCTACGTATCTACAGCACATACGAAGACTGTAGGGTATTTTATGGACGGATGCTGAGACAGTGTTGTTGTGTATAAACCGTACTGTAGGCTGTAGCTGGTTGCTATATGTATGTAGTTTAGCTACCAGTCGTAGCACAGACATATAGCAGCTCCATCATACATGATTCACTGGTGGAGAATCAATAAACCCTCCTCTCTCTCTCTCGTGTGGCAGGCTGACAAACAGAGGTGGTTCAGACTGAAAGGAAACCTCCTCTTCTATTTCAAGGTGTGCGAGTTGGGAGGATGGGAGGTGATGAAGAGAACCACGTACCCAACCAGCCACTCCTTCACTGCTCAACCACAGCTGCTTCTGCTTTTGTATGCTTAGCACTGACTGTATATACAAACTGTGTCGGTCTATGGGACCAATACATGATAACTGGCTGGTGCTTGGCCTGTTGCTGCAGATACACAGTATAATTACCAGTGAAGTGTTTGCACGTCGTGGCAGTGTTGGATGTACATTTATAGCTATAATGTGCAGGGTTTGTAGTTAGTACATATGTATACATGGAAATAAGGCTATAATAGCATATGTACGTGTGTCATTATAGACAAACAGTGTGTGGTGTGTTGCAATGTGACAGTTTGGCCACACCTCCAAATCCACTATCTTCACCCTATGATTATATACACACATCAATTTCATACCCTGGGTGACGTAATACTGCATAATCACGCAAAGAAATTTGTGTTGCATTGTTTTCGCAGCGATTAAAAATCAATAAATTCTCATTTGAAATAAGTGAGCTGGTAATAGGATCAGACTATCAAATGTATGGTCATAACTTGTACTTGTGTTGTTGTGTACCTACTTGTGTTGGTGGATTGGTCAGTCTATTTGTAATGTTTGTACACATCGCATTAAATGGTCAAAACCCCTTCCTCCCCCTCCCGTCATATCTCAATCGCTGCTTGTGAGTATTTTTGGGTACTTATAGGCCCTGCCAACATTTGCCATCTTGACAGCTTGCTCTGTGACTATGTATGAATATATTGTGCATATTCATTACACATACTTAGTATTATGCTAATAACAAAATCATAGCTCCATACATCTATGATGATAGGTGCCAATCCCTATAATATTCTAAGTGAGATACTATCTTACTTGTGATAATATTTGAGAGCTGTCTCACTTTGCCTGCAGTCGTGTGGAGAGCCGGCGGGGGTGATTGTTCTAGAGAGATGTCGTGTTGAGAGAATTCATCACGAAACACGGCCTTATTCCTTCGTCCTCGGTCAGTCCCCTCTCTCCTCTCTCCTCTCTCGTCTCCATTCCTCTCTGCACTCTCCTTCTATCCTCCCATCCCTCTTTATCCTTTTGCTCTCTCTCCTCTCTCTCTCCCTCTCTCTCTCTCTCCCCTCTCTCTCCCCTCTCTCTCTGGCAGCATTTGAGAATGATGACTCCAGGACATATGTCCTCAGTGCCTTCTCACAGCCTGAGCTAGACTCCTGGATACTTGCCGTCCGCATGTCAAGGTATGGAATGGGGACACTCCTACAATAAGGAGACCCACAAATAGAGTTTCTCAGAAATCAGCTTTTATCTCACTTTTCATGTGAAATGAGGACACTTCACTAATAAGGGCACTTTCCTTCTTCTTTTGTTCAAAAACACACACCATTAACCAATTCTACCCTCTCTCTCTCCCTGCTACCCTCTATGTGTGCGTGCTCACCTGCTAGCTATGAGGGTCTAAAGGCCATGTACTATGAACTCACCAACAAGATTAACACCCTCACTGGAAAGGTACACCCCCTATCATGCCGAGGAAGTCAATTCTCTCCCTCTCCATTCTCCCTGAAGTACTCACAAAAAACGAAGTCTCCAATGGCTACAAAATAGAAGGCCTTGGTATATTGGTATATTCAGGGCTAGATATCTTAGCTACTGTGTTCCTCTGTGTACTATATCTTCAGGTAGTGATGCAGCTACTAGTATCAACAGCATGGCATGCCTCTCTCTCTGTGAGGACAGCTACAGATCTTGGTGAGTGAGCTTCAGCATCAATGTCTCTCTCTCAGATTACAGGGTGAAATTGCAATAGGAGAAAGCTGGCCATTTCCAGCTACTGTGAATAGGCTGGCGCCCAATATGCTGGCATAATTTTTGGAATAATAGGGGCTGCCCAGAAAAAGCATAATTCTGGGAATAATAGGTCGGAATTGCAATGTGTAGGCGTTTGCGCGATCTTCTGCCGGAGCTTCTGCCCTTCCGCGGTTTTGCGTAAAGATGGAGAACTTACCCTGGATATCTTCACTGCAAAAAGAGCGAAAATGAAGCGCATCACTCCACGGGAAGGCTAGAGACAACAAAACCGCGCGAACAAAAGTGCAGACTCGGCAATTTTCCTCGTTCTACACGCCCCCCTTTTTACGCAAGGGTTTAGCGCATGCCAGCTCGAAGGGAATAATAGGGGCAGCGAGGAGGAATAATAGGAAAGATTTACGAGAATTGCGGAATAGAATAATGGGTAAAAAAGTTAGCATAATGGCCTCAACCCTAACTGTGAGCAGCTGAGTCTCATGCAGAGACTGAGACATGAAGTGGTGCTACTCCACGACAAGGTATTGTGTCACTAAGGTGGTTTATTTCACTCGGATGTATACTTGTTTAGCTGGAGAGTCGAGAGGCTGAGATTGAGATGCTAAGACAACAGTTGGAGGAAGCCAAGAGAGAAAAATCAGTCGTAGAATTAGAGTTTTCTAACTATCGCAAACACACCCAGGTGACGCCATTGTGCAGCATTCAGGGTCCTCATCTATGCAATTAGCGGCAAAATTTTGTTTTCACAGAAGCTGTTGTGTGAGGCCGCAGTAGACAAGACGGAGCAGTGGCTGGAATCATCATCAAACTGATTATCATAATAATGTCCTATATACTTAGTACTATGCTAGCTTCATCTCTGGTCAATGGTTCTTTGCCTTGAAATCAAAGTACACCGCTATGTTAGCAGAGGACTAGCAATATAGCTGGTATATAGAGTCACTTTGTCAGGTGTGTCTGCCTCAAAGATAACATTCTCATTGTTTGGTCAAATAAAGCATGTGTACACAAACTTAGCTACAATGCGCAAGTATAACAAAAGGATACTTTATAGTGGAATATTATGATAATATAGTTTGATAGGGTTGAGAAGTGAAAGGTTAAGACATCACAGTCTCATATGCATCATCAGTTCTCCTCTCACTACATTGTAGCCTCGTGCTGGTGGTCTTGAGTGACTCGGGAGGTCTCTGCGATGAACCACATGAAAGTTGAGACAACAGAAATTGGCAAACTACCCCTTTTCAGGTCGTGCAGTCAAGAGTGGCAGTGTATCGTCAGCTCTTGTTGGAGTTTCTTCTTCTCATGAAAAGACTATCACCATCGCCTGCACTGCTATAGCAGTCACAATCACCACTCCCAACACACACCACCATGAGGAAATAGCTCTGGAGTGGACCTCAACAGAGACCAGAGGAGACGTCATGTAGATATAATTATAGTACACATCATGGTACTTGTGTCGATCTCTAATGCGTTGCATTGCCATGGCAGGTGCACACGCTCTGCTGGTGTGTTTACCATGCACATAACCGTGATATTTCATCCGCGTCATCCCTATATAGAGAGTCTACCGACTCTCTAGTACACATAGTGTAGAGAAAGTCTGTCATGTATATAGTGGTTGCAGAGGTCCTGCATATTTGCGAACCAGTGAGAAGAGAGAGAGAGAGAGAGTTCAGGTCAGTAGCTAATAGCTACACTGAACACTGTCACTACCCACTGCCATCATTCCATTTCACTGAGGTCCACATAGAAATGGTTGGCCAGAGTCTGGCCCATGAAGGAAAACAGGAAAACTCTGAGAGTGGACCTCCACCAGAGACCAGAGGAGACTCATGTAGATATAATATAGTAGTACATCATGGTACATTGTGTCGATCTCTAAATGCGTTGCACATGCGCAAGTACACGCTCTGCTGGTGTGTTACCATGGAGATGTAACGATGCCCACGAAGGTAAACGTAAACTGGTAAAAACTACAAACAAAATTCTTTCTGTTGAGGTGTACAAACTGACATAGTATTGACATTCATAATGTAGCAAAAACAATGTTCAAAGGAGGGCTCTGTGCACAAGCCATGTCCACTGTCACACAGGTTCATAGTCTCCAGCAGCAGTAGTGGTAGGTTGAGAGGTGGTGGTGGGAGGAAGGTTTTGTGGTACTTCATAATCATCTTCAGCTGTCCTTCCAGTCCCTCTCACTACATTGTAGGCCTCATTACTGGTGGTCTGGAGCTGGTCTGGATCTCTGGAGTGAGGCCATCAGTGGTATAGAAATCATCTCACAGTGTTTCAATATGGGGAGACTTACGCATATGTTGGCTCTGAGAACTTGGAGAGCTCCACTGATTGATTTGTAGCTCCAACTGTAGCTCTGTATCAAATCCAATGACATATTATTATGTCATACTAATGTAAGAGTGTATGATCGTGCCTTGTTTTTGCAGAGTAATTTCCACTGCGACTTCTCAGCACTAGAATCACTACCACTATGACTGTCAGTGAAGTAGCGATTATAAGAACACAGCCACAGCCACTACTCCACCAATAATGGCAGAAGTGTTGTCACATTCACAGCTAGTACTCTCTGCCTGGCAAACATCAGTGGCTGGAAATTAAGTTGAATATCATTACTACCAGAGGTATGACAGCACTCCCACAGTTTTCTCCATTGGTGGTAATTATTATCATTCATTGCAGTGACTGTAGAGCTGTGTTTCTGAGTGAAATGTCTCTGAAACTCACTCCTCCCTCAGTAGAGCGAGTGAAGGTGGTGGAAGAGCTCCCAGCAGGGTTGAAGACTGTGACAGTGATGTCATAGCTAGTTCCACTCCTCAGCTTGTCGATAGTGTAGCTGTCTGGTCTGCAGGGAGTCGTCCACTAGTCCCTCCCTCAGCATTGCGGACTCGTCTTCTTCTCTCGTCTGCTCTGTTAGCTCCCAGCTCACCTCAGAGCCAGTTACATCAGGAGGAAGGCTCCAGGAGATAGTGATGGTAGTGGAGGTCTCAATGATGTCCATACTAGTTGGTTTCTCTGGAACACTCACTGATGAATGGAGAATGAGTCAGTGACAGAACTATATTAGCATGTTTGGTCTAACCTAATGTGATTCTCGAACTTCAGGAGCACTGTTGGTCTGTTTGGAACTATCGCTACAATGGATATGGTGTAGGTCTGTCCATTGGTGAGACCAGTCAGAGTGTAGCTGTTGGTAGAGCCACCATCAATATCCACATCACTGCCTCCAGTGAAGGAGATCCTGTAGCCAGTGATACCATCCAGAGGATCAGGAGGAGTCCAGGTCACTGTGATACTAGTGGGACCATCCTGGACTGCTGTCACATCAGTGGGAGGTGGGGGACCTGAAAGTGAGTCAATATCATTACTGAATGACACATTACAGTAGATACCCTCCAATGTGAAGCTAGCTGAAGCAGAAGATGGCTTGTTATTAGCCACAGTACAAGTGTACTCTCCTGCAGTAGTCACAGTCAGAGTGTGGGTGTACTGTGCAGTCACTGGGTCATTCAACACAGTCTGGGTTCCTTGGGTGACAGTGGTGGAGTCTCTGGTCCAAGTGACAGTGGTAGCAGGTCCACCAGTGGAGATACAGGTGAGGGTGAACTGAGGACTGGCTCCATTGAGGTCAGACTCCACTGTCAGTTCCCTCAGGTATTGAGATGTCTCCTGCAATGTAGAATCAATTACACCAGGAACATTCTGTGAACCAATCAATACATACCTCCTCCATTGTATATTCCCACATAAACTCTCTGGTCAGTTTCTGTGTTGTCCATTTACCTCACAGTAATATATTCCTTCAGCTGCAGGATCAGTACCAGTGGTCCTCTTCAGTCTCACTACCATAGGACCTCTGGTTTCTGATAAATCCTGGAACATCATACCATCTACTCTGGTCCTGTCTGGAGCAAACCAGTCTCCTCCAGAATTAGTACTACCAGATGGTGGAGGACGGTTAGTGATACACAGAAGAGCAGTGTCATCAGTGGAGCCAATATCACTGATATCCACATAGCTATGATTAGTGAAGATTTCACAATTTAGCCTTAAGAATATATTATGGCTAAAGAAAGGGCAGCATAAGAGAGCAATAAGGATACAGGAAGGACTAACCTTGTGGGGTTTCCATAAAGACAGAGGAACTATACTCTCCAGTACCAGCACTACTTTTAGCTGCCACTTGAATTGAGTAGTTGGTGGAAGAATTGAGATTTGAGATTGTAGTCTTAGATATACTTCCCCCACTAATGTTTACCATGGTCCCTGTACTTGGATCCCTTACTACGTGATACCTCACTGAATAGCCTGTGATTGCTCCATTCTGATGGATACATGGTACCTCTCCCCACTGGACAGTGATGGTGGAAGAGTTCACCACACAAACATCCAAAGAGGAGGGAGGGGCAGATGGGACTGTAAGTGAGTGAAGATAAATACAGATTTGGCGAGCAAAAAGTTAGTCCACCTAGTCATCTGAATAGCGCGGTTATTCAATATTTAATGAACGACAATTCTGCAAACATCACATAGCTACAGCGATCCGAAGATTGCTTAGTTCGGCAATTTTTTGTATTTGACTAGTAAAATAGTCTAATACTAACCAGTGCCATTTGTAGCAGCTGTGATGTTGTACTTAATGATCTGACTCCTTAGAGTGGTAGTGACAGTGATGAGGTATGTAGTTCCCTCCTCCAGTTCAGTCAGTCTGTGCTCCATACTGTCAGTAGTGATGCTGCCAGTGTCACCGGAGCAGTTAGTGTTAAAGTATGAGACGGTGTATGAGGTAGCAGTCACATCTTCAGCCAGTGTCCAAGAAATGGTTATAGATGTAGTGGAAACTGAGCCCACCGACAGGAACAACGCATCTGACAGGGAAAAAGAGAATATCAACCTGGCATCTGTTGATGCTGTCAGACCTGGATATATTGCACATGCGCAATTAAGCTTATTCAGAGGTACTAAGAGGATGATCAGGGAGAAAGCAGGAATTGAACAGCCTGTAAGCATCATAGACCTTGTGTCAGTTGATCTCTGGGGGTACTGATAGACTCCAGTCCAGCATTGTTGACTGCTGCCAATTCAGTTGGAGCTGAGAGAGAGTGAGAATAAACCATCAGCACATCCAGATGGTCCTATTGCTCACCAGCCACCATTGTCATTGGAGTGATTTGGTTTACTTGGTTCATCTCCGAGGGAATTGGAGGCATTCACAGTGACTGCATACCTACTGTCTTCCTCTAGTCCAGTGATAGTGTAGCTAGTCATGGAACCTCCAGTGATAGTGGTACTGTCTGTGTCCTCATCAGTACAGCCTACTGAAGTGTCTCTCTGCCCACTCCACCTCATAACTGACTCCCTCTGAGCCACCACTGGTCAGGAGAGGGAAGATGGAGGTGGCTGTCGTGGAGTCTGACATCAGAACTGGGACAGCAACTGGGGAGAGAAAAAGGAAACGTAAACTAAATTCAGTATAATTATAGAGTCTGATACACGTTTACCTTTAGTCAACTGGTCCACTGCAGTACTGTATGGTCCAATAAGTTCACCATTCACTGCAGCCACTTGAATGGAGTAGGTGGTGGATGGATTGAGACCAGTGATGGTGGTTTCATTCACAGTAGCTCCATCAACAGTCAACATCTCTGTGCTCCACTCCCCATCACTCCATACTGGACTGAGTAGCCTGTGATGGCTCCATTCTGATGGATACAAGGCACTTCTCCCACACCACAGTGATGGTGGAAGAGGTCAAACCAGTTCCACAGTCAGAGATGAAGGTGTGGCAGATGGAACTGTGAGAATAGTTCAGATTAAAAGAGAGGACAGAGAACATTGTGAGGTCTGTAGAAAAATCGCGCAGTTCAGACCACTAGGTTAGCTGCTCTGCTCGCCAATTATTAAATGACCAACAACTCTGCACTACACACAATGTGCATACACTGAAAATCATGTACTGTGATCCGAATGTTTCTTAGCTCGCCAATTTTTTTTAATTTGCTAGTAAAATATTCGAATCACTACCAGTGGCATTGTAGCAGCTGTGATGTTGTACATAACGATCTGACTCCTTAGAGTGGTAGTGACAGTGATGAGGTACGTAGTTCCCTCCTCCAGTTCAGTCAGTCTGAGCTCCATACTGTAGGTAGTGTTGCTGTCATATGTGTCACCGGAGCAGTTAGTGTTAAAGTATGAGACGGTGTATGAGGTAGCAGTCACATCTTCAGCCAGTGTCCAAGAAATGGTTATAGATGTAGTGGAAACTGAGACCACCGACAGGAACAACGCATCTGACAGGGAAAGGAGAATATCAACCTGGCATCATTCTGTTGATGGATATATTGCGCATGGGCAATTAACTTATTCAGAGGTAATAAGGCATGGGCATGCATTCCCTCAACGAAGAGTAGATCAGGGAAAGCAGGAATTGAACAGCCAGTATGAATCATAGACCTTGTGTCAGTTGATGTCTGGGGGTACTGTAGACTCCAGTGCCAGCACTGTTGACTGCTGCCACTTCAATAGAGTAGGTAGTGGATGGCATGAGGGTTTCAATAGTTGTCTCATTCACAGTAGCTCCATCAACAGTCAACATCTGTGTGCCCCCACTCCCCATTACTCCATACTGGACTGAGTATCCTGTGATGGCTACATTCTGATCAGCACAAGGTACCTCCCGCCACTGAATAGTGATCATAGAAGGGCTGTCACTGGATGATGTCACGCCAGGAGGAGATGATGGAGCTATATAAGGACATAAACTTAAATGCCTTACAGAATGTGGGAAAATCAAAGTTCACTTTACCAGCCTCCTCGGTCATTGCAGTAACAGCAATACTGACTTCACTACTACCAGCTCCATTGGTGGCTGTCACAGTGATGGTGTACCTACTGACTTCCTCTAGACCAGGTATAGTATGGCTGGTAGCAGTGACAGTGGGTACTGTTTATGTCCTCATCAGAACAGCCTACTGAGGTGTCTCTAGTCCATTCTATAAGGTATTCAGTCACCACTGAGCCACTGGGAACACTCCAGGAGAGGGAGACTGTAGTGGCTGTTGTGGAGCCAAGACTGGCAGTTGGCTGACCAGGAACTGCACGGGATACAGAGAATCATTGATTGAAGAAAGTATTGGACTTACCTAACCCAACAGCCATGTCTGCTGTCACAGTGTCACTAGCAAGGTTGTTGGATGTGGCTACAACGGATATGGTGTAGTTCTTTCCATTGGTGAGACCAGTCAGAGTGTGACTCGTAGTATTTCCACCACTGACAGCCTCACTACCACAGCTGCCTCCAGTGAAGGAGATGGTGTAGCCAGTGGTACCATCCAAAGGAGAGAGAGGAGTCCAGGTCACCGTGATACTAGTGGGGCCATCCTGGTCTGAGTGGGAGCCTTAACAGCTGAAGAATAAGATGCACCTATTGAGTCTGTATATAGAACTGTTACACACCTACTATATAGAGTGATGCTAGCTGAATCAGAAGATGGCTTGTTATTAGACACCACACATGTGTAATCGCCTGCAGTAGTCACACTCAGAGTGTGGGTGTACTGTGCTGTCACTGGGTCATTCAACACAGTCACAGTTCCTTTGGTGACAGTGGTGGAATTTCTGGTCCAAGTGACAGTGGTAGCAGGTCCCCCAGTGGAGATGCAGGTGAGGGTCAGCTGGCTAGGGCCAAATGTCATATATTCAGATATTGAAATGTCTCCTGAGCAAAAACAAATAGCATTAGTGGCAGTTTATCTCATTGGTTACCTTCACTGGCAGTATACAGTCCCACATAGACTGGTCTGTCTCTCACTGAGATGTCAGTATCTTCATGGACAGCATTAGTTGGAATATCACAGCGATAGATACCAACTGGTGAGTTAGCATTAGTGCTACGACGTAGGTCAAGTCCCTGAGCTACACGTGCCTCATAGATATCACCACCTCCAGGAAATGGCAGTCTAGTTCCATCAGGGAAAGTACCAGTCTCCACGATGAGGACCCTGACCACCACTACAACATGTGCCCAGGTCAGTGATACACTGAACACTGTCACTACCACTGCCCACTTGACTGAGGTCCACATAGGAATTATTGGCCAGAGTCTGGCTCATGAAGGAGACATAAGGAACAGTCTGAGAGTGGACTTCTACCACTGACTTCAGGCATAAAATGGTAAAACATACACATACTAACTGCAAATCCATTGCACTTGACTTTTACCTGCTAAAAAGTGACCACTGTCTTTTGCTGCCCCACACTTATAAACCCTCCATGACGTCATAGCTGACTATATGAACGTGTCGTCATCATGGCGGAAATTGGTGGCGCAGCTCTGCAGAAGAACCGGATCAGTCGACTGCAGGAGATCTGTCAGCAGTGGAGGCTTCCTCTGCCGGTGTACCGCGAGGCGCAGGGAACGTTCAGCGAGTTCGGTACGGAGATCAGTCTAACGTTGGAGGGAGAGCCCGTCACCTTCCACGGCAGAGGCCGCACCAAAAAGATCAGCAAATCAAACGCCGCTCAGGAGGTACTGAACTACATTGCAAAGAACAAGGCTCACCTCTTGGAGCCGCCTCCAGTGACTGTGAGTCGTTCTCTTCCATCTTCTCGTCCACCCACGTGGTGTTGGCTTTGAACTATGACCTTTTCTTCAACACACAGGTGGTAGATGAAGGTGCTATAGTCGAGGCCCAGTCAATATGGAAGAAAGGTGGATGTATTCTCTATCATACTAGCTGGTGTGTTATCTTTTATACAGGAAGTCATCTAAATAGACAGCATGTTCCCAGTGTGGATCAGAGTGAACTGGCTGGAGAGACTGAGAGACTGGATCGTGAGTGGATCTAATGGTGATGTTGATGATGATGATGATGATGATGTAATGGTTACATCATCAGATGTACATGTGGGACTGGAGTTGGGGAGACTGATACAACAGACTAGGACTCAGAGGAAAATGTCTCAGAAAGACCTCGCAGCCGTGAGCAATTCAATTTCTCCACACTTTCCCCATCTCTCTCCCTGATGGCTCTACAGAAGATCAATGAGAAGGTGGTGGTTGTGGTGGACTATGAATCAGGTCGTGCTCTGCCGAATACTCATATCATATCCAAACTGGAGAGAGCTCTCGGTATGCAGCCACCACCTCCCCCCTCTCTTTCTCTGAGTATCAATCTGTCGATTCTGTCTTTCTGCAGGTGTTCATCTGACAGGAGAAAAGGTGGGGCAACTGAAACTTGCTGGGAGGGGGCGTGGCCACATGTAAACTCATCACACTATATCAGCTACTGATACGGTCCTTCAGACTCCATTATTCATCATCCTTATACTACCTGCATTATATCACTTTTTCATGTAAACGGAGCAAGTATGCAATGATTTGTTTCCGCATACTTCTACTACAAAAGGGGATCATGAGTTCTTGGTGATCTATAGACAGGAGAGTATTGCATTAGACATAGATTCACGGAAGCTGGGGACAGAAGAAGACGCGGCGATCTCCCACGGTATGTCCATGGATCGCAGCAGCAGCCGCCAGGAGCTGTGGAGACGGAGAAAACAACTGGGAACGAAGCCGGAACTGATGCTATTCCTATTCTTCTTCCTCGCTCCTCACCTGGTCTCCGGTCAAGAAGGTGAGGTCTGGAGGAGAGCGGGGTGCAGCAATAGCTGCGTGTTAAAATGCGTGGTGCTGCAGAGCCCGGCTCGAGAACACCAAAGGTTGTGAGGTTGCAGAGATAAAACGTCCGTCCACTGCGCACACCGTCCCGAGGTGTTTTTGTAGTATTATGGCAACAGCTGAGATGTTTATCTAAAACCGCAGTAAGATCGCGAGCTGAGGCTGAGCTAATGTCTGGCTCCTCCCTGCACGCTGCAGTCGCTGCAGGAGTGCAGCTAGGAATCTGAGCTGGCAACGTGAAGCCCAGAGTACTTTTCATTTGTAGATTGTCTTGCTTCCCTTCCAAGTGCATTATTCGGCCAAACATTGTAGGGAGTATAAGTGTTTGCACCCCTCATTGTGTGTTTTACTAGTTCATGAGGCTGTTAGAATTTGATTTCCAAGAGGTTTGTTTACAAGTGATCCAGAGCTAGCAGCCAGAGCATCTGGTGCAAATTTCATTACAGCCACTTCATTTGTGGAGGACACAGTACCATCAGCTCCCCCTCCACTGGCATGCAGCACACCCTAACACAACAAACAGCAGTCATGACTTGTGTGAAGTGGATTCATAATGAGCGTTCGATTGCACATAGTGCAGTGTTTATCCACACCTGCTAACTTGGGGCTGCTGTGTTAGCGGGAGGAGGTATTCAGAGCTGCAGTGAATCTCGTTGTGTGGGTGACTGTCTGTGAACCAAGCTCGCTCACTAGGGAATAAAACCTAGCTCAGCCTTCTGCAGCTGTGCGGGCATCCCTCCAGCCTCTGTACACAGACAGAGGATTCCTCGTGATCTCTGTCATGGTCGGCTGGTCGGTCTCAGCCCATGTGCAGCCAGAGAACTGGGCCCCTTCCTTTGCAGCGTCTGCGGTGTTTGGAATGACAGAAATGCTCTTACCTTGCGTAATTCTTGGCACCTTTCCCTGACCTTCTTTTATGAACATCATGAACCTAATCATATAATGCCTCAGCGTTCAGAAAATTAACCCCACTTCCTCTCTATCTCTTTATACCTCAGCTCCGACAATAACAGTTCCACCAATGGACCGAAACGTTCTTCGAGGAGATGCATTCAATATGACATGTTCTGCAGAGGGCAGTGGTGCAGTCTCCATTCAGTGGGAAAAGGATGGCCTTCTGTTGAGCAATGGAATTGTGATGGGGAACAACCTGATCTTTGATGAAGCTTTGCCGAGCAATGCAGGGATGTATGTTTGTGTGGCCACTAATGAGGGAGGGGAGGCCAGAGCTGGAGCAACAGTCACTGTATTCTGTGAGTTCAGTAATCTAGCACCTCTTTGCCCTTGCCTTCTCTGTACACACTATTGGCTCTGTTATGGTGTGGACCCAACAATGAGTGATCTGCCTGTGCTCCCTATCTGTAGCACTGCCAGGAAACTTTATTTGTTTATTTATTGGCTGAGAGGGGATTAGAGATGGCATTCTTGGTGGCTCTGGACATGTTACTGGGACCTCACCCACATTCCTGCTCCACAATACCGCCACTGTGTTTGCTCATGTCTATAGTGCCCCATGTGTTAGCTGCACTAGGAGGCTAAACAGAAGTTGAATGGAAGAGCGTGTACGAGTATACAGCCTCTGACATGGTGGACATCGCTCTGTCAGCCGTCGGAATGCCAAGACTGTGTCACAAGCTTTCATTAGCTATAGCTGAAGCTAATGGAGGCAGCCGTATTCTGAGCGTCTGGAATGCATGCAATGCTAATGGCCGGCCCACAGTGTTAATTAGAGGCTGGTGTGACATGTGTCATTAGAGGGGGCAGAGGTAGGAATGGGAGTAGGGAGGGGCTTGGGGACGAGGGTCTCCATGTGCTGAAGGGGGAGAGGGCAGGTCTCATGCTAATAAGGTTCACAGTTGCCATAGTGACGACACCTATTACCATGAATGGTGTAAGCTCACTGGAGCAGTGGATGAATATACCTCACCACAGCTGCACCTGGTCTTGTTGCAACATTAATTTCCTTCCCTCTCTGTGAATATACCTTCTCACCTGCACACGTGGTGTCATCCTCTCATATATTATACCTCTATGTGCAGATGCTCCGGTGTTCCTGTCACTGGAGGTGGAGCCAGGGGAAGAGGTGATCAATGGCTCCATGGTAACGCTCACCTGTGACATGGATGGCTTCCCCATACCAAACATCACGTGGCTACACAATGGAATGGAGGTATGGGAAATGGGAATCAGACCCCTATCACAGACCCCGGGAAGTGGGAATGTGCACAGGGTATCTTTAGTGAAGAAGACAGAAATGTTGCAAAAGTATTACCTCTGCAGGTGGTAGGCAGTGGGAGAGTGTCCCTCTCAGGTAGTGGCAGTGTTCTGACAATAGCAGAAGTGATACTATCTGACTCTGGAGTCTATACCTGCAACACCAGCAACAACTATGGGACCGCAGAGGCTGATTTTGACATTCTGCTGATGATTTACTGTAAGTCACTGCATGGACTATAATTATAGAGTTCTGGCTTCTTCTGATGACCAACAGACTACCTTGTGTGGGCTGGAATGTCCTGAAACTTAGCATCATCTCCAGCCAACACAGGGTTGGGTTTACAGAAAACATACCAAATGATGAAGCAGTCTTGAGTTTGAAACATTCAGAGCTTTCTTCAACTGACTAATAGCTAGACCGAGAGCATGGCCGGATGTAATCATTAGCTGGAGATTGTGGAATGATTATTAATGTCTTAATGGCAGGCATCTTGGCTGAGACATTGTCTGGAGGAATGTGCAGTACAAGATATTAATCACTCCAATTGTATACAAACAAAAGAGAATGATAATGAACAATGAAGATGTATATACTCTATTGATCTCTTGCTCTGCAGACCCTCCCATGGAGATCATGGTCCAGGGTCATCCTCCAGAGCTGGACCCACGACTAGGAGAGAGGGCGGAGCTTACCTGTGTGGCTTTCTCCATACCGAGCTCCACGTACAGTTGGTGGAAGGTGGGAGGCGGGGGAGAGGAGGAGAGGGTGGAGGACTCAGCCTCTATATCGGTGAGTAACAACATTCAGTGTTTGTAGGACAGAGAAAAATTCCAAACCGAGACTAAGAAAAACCACCTCCTTGTGTTCTGTGAAGTGCATTCGATACAGACATAATCATCTCTATTCCAGACATTTGGTGGTAATGGGACACTCCTCTTCGTTATGGTGCAACGAGAAGATGCCGGGAGCTACTTCTGCAATGCCAGCAATGACTATGGGAGTCTGGTTTCTCAGTATCTCACCCTCAGAGTCAGTGGTGAGTCCTCTTTTATCCCCCCATTTCGTATTTTTATCTTGTTTCGTCTCCCCAGCTGTTCCCCTGGCACCCACTGAACTGGGGCTGAATTCTCTCTCCTCCACATCAGCCGACATACGCTGGGACCGAGTTAGCTCTTCCTACCCTCCAGTCCATGTGAGACCACACCCACTCCTCATGAATATTCATGACCCACCTCTGTTGCAGACCTACCATGTGGAGTACAGACTGAAACCTTGACAGCAGACCGTGGGTCGAACACAATGTTCCTAGTAATCCCCAACAGCTTCAAAATCACAAGTAAGTATATACTGTAGTGCCAGAATGACCAATGTATATGGAGGGTGTTATGTGCAGGTCTCCTGCCGTATGCCTGCTACCTGGTAAAAGTCAGTGCCACCAGCCCAGCTGGTCGTGGAGAGCCCTCGTCCATTCTCTACATCATGACTTACGCTGGAGGTACAATGCTATACCATGCACAGTGTGTTTTTCATTACTCCTACTGATGAGCACAAAGGGTTGAGGGGATCGAGTGAATGAACCAACCAACCCATACACTGAAACTGGTTATTTTGCTTCTCTAAAAACTCACAATGTCAACAAAGCTCCTCATTATACCCCTCAGTTCCCCAGGTGCACAACACAGTGGTGGAGCCATCGCTATCACACTACAGTCCTCGCAGTGTACTTCTCGAATGGACCATCCACCCTGACATCCTCTCCACCTCTTACGCCTCCACCTGGTGGGTGTGGCATGAGTCACGTGATCTCAACAGCCACGCCCTTATTCCTCCCAACCCAGGGTTAACGTATCTTCTGCGGCGTCCGGCCCCAAGCCAAAGGAGGTGACAGGTAGTCCAGTGGAGGTGGGGGAACTGGAGCCAAACACCCACTACAACATCTCCTTGACTGTCAAATTTGAGGGTGGAGGTTTTGGGCCTCCTGTACTACTGATGACTACCACACCCGAGGACGGTAAGGAAGAGAGAGAGGGGAGAGAGAGAGAGAGAGGGGAGAGAGAGAGAGGGGAGAGAGGGGAGATAGGTAGAGAGGATGGTGAGAGAAGGTGTATAAATGGTTGTTGGCAACTTATTTTATCAGCTCACGACAGCATTACTGTACTGTGTTCAGTTTCGTAATGCTCTGGGAATGCACTCGCAATGTCATCCCTCTGCACTGCTCTTAGCTGAGCATGCACCTATTGCCAAGTCCCTCTACACTCTCTACATGAATCCTCCATACTGCAGCGTGTGGGTGTGTGTTCCTGGGAAGGCAGCGAGGGCTAATGTACACAGTTTACATGCTCTGATACTGCTATCTTTCCTCTGGTATGCGGGGAGTATGGACTCATCTCCCATATTTGGGCGGGCAACTTGCCTATACTTAGGACTTCCTGCCGCGTTTGCGTGTAGTAGAGAACTGGTTCATTCGTGGTAGGACAGAGCGAACTAGAGAGTTCAGTTGTGATGTTGCCACTGTCTCTCCTCTCCCTCCTCTCGTGCCTGGCTCTGCTCGGCTCTGCTGCTGACGACCTGGGCTCGGGCTCTGGCTCTGGCTCTGCCGCAGCTCCCAGCTCCCCGCCCAGAAACCTCGAGGTCTCCATGGTCACTGCCACTACAGCTCTGGTCTCCTGGGATCCTCCTCTCTCTCCAAACGGCGTCGTCGTCTCTTACAACATCTCCTACCAGCCTTCTGATGGCAGGTCAGCTGCTTCTCCCTCTGCAGCTGGCTAGCTAGCTGGCACTGCCTTTTGTGTGTGTGTTTTGCTCTTGAACTCACTGACTCACACACAACAGCAGTCGGTAGTGGTATAGTTTGTACCATTCTCTCTCCCTCTGTGTGCTGCAGTCTAAATTCTGTGGATATGGCAGTTGGAGGAGGCATAGAAAGCCAGGTCCTCACTGACCTCCGCCCGTTCACCTTCTACAACGTCTCAGTGTTGGCAAGTACAGGAGAAGGGGCCGGACCTACAAACAACACACAGTTCTTAACCGAACAAACCGGTGAGTTGCGTGTTCTTGCACTTAGTAACTTGTGTCATCATGTTTCATGTAAGTATGGCCTTGTGATTGCCATTGTAGGCATGTCGTATGAAGCTACACTTCAGTAGCTAATGGTGCTTCAGCTAATGCACATTTCTCTGGGAATCAGGCTGCATTCCCTCAATTATTTCCCACTGGGGGTATATTGTACATGTTCCTCTCCTTACAGACACTTAACATGTGTCTGTCTACCTGTTTGTTTGTCTGGGGTCCTAGCAGACAATACACTCTGTCACTGGTGAGTTGGACAAGGCTAGTCTCAGCGTGAGAAAGCCACTCTATTTGTACACTCATTGATGCCGTACTAGTATTCATTACAAGAGCTGAGCTGGTAGACTTATGAATAACACCTGTCTTTCTCCCTTCCCTCTCCTCAGCTCCACAAGCTCCAAACATTTTGCAGCATTTTCCGGTCAGTAGCACGGCTCTGTGGTTGTCATGGCAACTGGAGGGGAGAGTCCCAGGAATTCTCTCCGGCTTCAATGTAACGTACACAACTGACAGCCTGGCAACAAACAGGTTCATGGAACTTGGTCCCAGCAAGTGAGTTGTCCAATCCTGGGATGGGTTGGCCCATCTGGCAATGGTCCGTCTCTCACATCCAGTGAGTCAGTTGTGTTGGAGGGTCTGGAGGTGTGGACGCAGTACGAGGTGTGTGTCGTGGCGTCCACAGTTGGAGGAGGTCCAGGGAACTCATCTTGTGTTACTCTCCGCACGCTGTCGGCAGGTCAGTCTCTCTCTCTCCTGTGCCTCAGACAGCAGGAAGATTACTGTCTCCCCCCCGCAGCTCCAGAGGTGGCAGTGAGGAATGTCTCCCTCGTCCCGCTCTGTCCCCCCTCTCTGATGGTGGTGTGGGCACCCGTGGAGCCCTCTCTACTCAATGGACCTGCAGAGGAGAGTGTGTATGTGATATTCTGGCAGGAGAGAGAAGGACGGGGGAATGGTAGGGCGGAGGTGGACTACAGCGACACCACAACTGTGAGTCCTGGCATTCTTATCCCAATCTCGAGGAATTCTCTCCTTCCTCTCTCCAGAGTGGACTGGTGACTGGTCTGAATGTAGACACTGCCTACTCTGTGTCAGTGGCTCTGGCTAACAACAATGGCTCTGGTCCAAACAGTACAGCGGTGGAGGAGGAAAACCCCTCCCTCTGGAGGTGAGCGGAATCTCCTCAATTTCTTCTATCATTCCTCTCTCTCTTCTCCTCTCCCTTCCTCAGCACCATCAGTCAGTGAAGTGACTCTGGACCTGGTCAGAACCTTTCTGCTGGTGTCATGGCAACCTCCAAGCCCCTCCCCCTCTTTCCTCTCTTTCAACTTCACTCTCACCATCTCCTCTGCCAACGGAGACGAAATTCACTCTACACACGACACCTCCATCACCATCGCAGGTCAGTGGGATCCCACTCACCATTCCCTGCTGGAGTCAACTCTATTTGTCTCTATACAGATCTCATTCCTGGTACCAACTATGATGTGACCATCAGAACCGATGGAGGGTGTGGCTCCGGAGAACCTGTAGCCATGACAACCACAACACTTGAAGCTCTGCCAGGTCCACCAGTGATCTCCATAGCAACAGTATCCGCCTCCTCAGTTGCCATCCAGTTGAAGGAACCTTTGATGCCAAACGGTGTCATTACAGGCTTTATGGTGAGCCTCTCAATCTAATTGGCAGGGGCAGCCCCACCACTCCTCTCTCGCTATAGGTGGAGTGTGCTGGAAGTGGGGAAGTGAGTGTGGCTGAGTCATACTACATCTGCTCAGGACTGGAGGCGGACTCGGCTGTCTCTGTGAGAGTGAGGGCAGTCAATGGAGCTGGTCTCGGTGACCTGGCTACCATCAACACCTCCACTGCCTGCCAGAGTAAGGGACTATAGATATATACGTTTTGCGTTGGATCCTTTATTCTGCTGTGGATCCTCCGTTCTGCTCGTCTTTGAGCAGTTCTGCAGAGGAGCGTTACATTCAAAGACGCTCGACGTAGACTAGACTTAATGAGACCATGTTGTTCATACTAAACCAATTGGTGTGTGTGTGTTGTCCGTGCTGCTGCAGGTGAGGAGCCTAAGGTTGAGGAGACGGCAGCTCAGTCGGTGACAGTCCAGATCAGCGAAGGTTGCTACGCTGAGACAGGAGTTCTAGTAGTGGTACAGGAGGTTGGGGGAGAGCCACGCCCCCTGGGGTCTTACTCCGTGGAGGAACTGGTGGAGTTGACCTTGGAGTACTCCAGCGGACGACAGAAGAGGCAGGCAACAGGTGTCTACATTGCTGCCAACATCTCCAGAGGTAATCATGTAGAGAGAGGAAGAGGTCTACTTACGTCAACTGGTGTTATTTTGTTTGTAGGTATGAGGTCTTTGTTTGAGCTGGGGGATGGGATGAAATATGGCGGCTACACAAACCACCCTCTTATGTCAGACACCAAGTACAGAGTGGGTGTGGTGAGCATGTCGGACACTGCCAGTCAGCCAGACACCATTGTCACCTCTCCTGACTTCAGTTAGTATATACTTCATTCCCGCTCTCTGTTCACATTTTGGTAGCTCTTGCGCCATAGAAATTTTAGTGTGATTCGAATACCGATCCTTGATCATGTGGTTGACTCTACCTATATACATATGTATTTGATCTCTCTATGTGTAGCTACACGTAAGGCTGTAGGGAGCACACAACCCACTCAGACTGATGAGACGGGGTTTCCCGTGGTGGTGGCTGCGGCAGTCGGCGGTGGCCTCCTCTTTCTCCTCCTCCTCACTATCACCATCATCATTGCCATAGCAACCCTCATCTGCTGCTACCGCAGTAGGCGAGGGAACCTAACGTGAGTTTATGAGTGGGCGGAGCAAGAGGTGTGGTTTTCATCATTTTGCTCTACCCAGTTTGGACATGCAGGGGAAAGGCTCCACCCACAGCTTCGAGAGGAGTGCGTCTGTGCGTCTCTCTGGTCGTCGTGGTAACAAGCCGGCAGACCCGGTGGAGGAGTACAGAGCAAACTACCACACAGAGGCCCTCGAAGCCCATCCTCCAGTTCCTGTGGACGGCTTCGTCAACAAACTCCTGGTCATGAAGACCAACGACAACCAACTGTTTCTGGGGGAGTTTGGTTCTATTGAGATGAACCCCCAGCAGCCGTGCTCTGTGGCTGAACTGCCAGTGAACAGAGGGAAGAACCGCTACCACAACATCTTGCCTTATGACCACTCTCGAGTGAAGCTATCACACGGCAAAGGCCACGGGGACTACATCAATGCCAGCTACTGCTCCGTGAGAAAAGGGTTAAATGTTCAAGCTGGATGTAATCCACTCCCCCCACTGTAGGGTTTCATGAAAGTGCAAGGATTCATTGCAACCCAAGGTCCCCTGCCAGAGACTGTCCCTGACTTCTGGAGACTGGTGTGGGAACAGAACGCACGTACCGTTGTGATGCTGACAAACGCTCAGGTATACCACCGCAGCAGTCTTTGCAACATGTCACCACTGAGCCTCTGTCTGTCTGTCTGTCAGGAGAGACTGAAGACTAAATGTGAGGTGTACTGGCCCCGAGAGGTCGGCTGCTCAGTGGTGTACGGAGCCATTGAAGTAACTCTGACTGACTTTACTCAACTGGCCGACTATACCATCAGATCTCTCACCATCAACAAGGTAACTGTGGGGGAGTACTCTGTCGGGAATGGGTTTTTTGTTTTGTAACATTTGGCTGAGCTACATGTTCTCGTCTTGTGTGTCTCATAGGCAGGGTCAGGGAAGGAAGGTAGAGAGATAAAACAGTTCCACTTCACGTCGTGGCCCGACCACGGAGTGCCCCAGTTTGCCACGGCGATGTTGGCGATGGTCCGCAGAGTGATGGCTTTCCACTCGTGTGAGACGGGGCCGATGGTGGTGCACTGCAGTGCAGGTAAGTTCCTCCTATCTCTAGGTCTCAGAACAGTCTATAGTAATAGTGATTGACATTTTGTGCCTACCTCTCTCATCCTCTGTAGGAGTGGGAAGAACAGGAACATTCATTGTCATATACAGTATGATAGAGAGAATGAAGGCCAACAGGAGAACGGTCGACGTATATGGTCACGTGAGTTTGTTACGAACACAGAGGAACTACATGGTCCAGACCGAGGTACGTACAATGTTGAGGTCTGAGAGGGTGTGTTGTAATCCTCTCTCATTCTGTAGGATCAGTACTTCTTCATCTACGAGGCAGTGGCGGAGGTCATTGTGTGTGGAGACACTGAAGTGACTCTTGATCAGTTGGAGGAGTATGTCAACGACATTCTTGCCGTGCCCCTCGACCAATCAGAACACACTCATATTGAGCTCGAGTTCAAGGTATGTCACAGCTGCTGTCTACTACAGGAGGTATGAAAAGCACTAAAGTGCAAACCCTCGGCACACTATATAGAAATGTGGAACCCATACACAAGTGTGGCACCACCACAATTGATGGTCTTGACCATGCATCAAAAAGAACAACATGTTATGCACTATTTCCATGGAATAGATGGCCAGCCCCATTTCTGTTTGAGGCCAAAAATATATATAAGGTTGAAAAATTGCCAACCTTTCATCTCTCTATTAATTTTCGTATTACCTGTGGATTGTTTAGTGCAAAAAAAATACCAAAAAAAAACCGGCCAGCCCTTCATCTCTCCAGACAGACGTCTACGGACGCAGTGCTATGCCGAACTATACGCTGCCCTTTGAGAAACGTGGGTCAGTGGTAGATTTGTGGGTAAGGGGAGGAACCAGAGCTGTTCCCAGCCAATGTTCTGGACCACCTGACACTTTAGTGCGGGATCGAGGATTCGAACCGGGCACCTATGGTGTCAGTCCCCACGACTCTAACCACCTAGCCACTCGGGCTGGCCTGGAGAGGTGATGAAAAAACGTTCCAGTTATACCAACAGCCAACACTCCTATTACATCATTGTAAAAAAGGCGCACACACCCGGGATCAAACCAAGGATCTCACGATCAAGAGAGGGGGTGCTTATCCATCAGACCACCATTACTTGAATGGGAACAGTGTAAATGAAAAGCACTAAAGTGCAAACCCTCGGCGAAGTAGCTCGCAGAGAGTCTGACACGGGCTAGCTACAGTAGTAGATAGCACGCGAGAGTCGATACACACCATTCGTTGTGACTTCTTGTGCCTTCAAGATAGACAGAGCAAGCGGACCCGGTTGAGGTAAGCCTGTGCTAAATATAAGCGCATGCGCATTATCCGCCAGCGATAAAATGGCGACTACCGGCATTAGCCATACAATGCTGCAAGCGCTCTAGCTCTGCAACGGAGCATTTTCAGGGAAAAACCGTTCAGACGTGATAATACTGTCACCTGTTTTCGTTCCCACAGAGGTTGGCAGTGGATAAGTCAGACACCTACAGATTCTCGTCTGCCAATAAAGATGTCAACAAGGCCAAGAATAGATACGTCAACGTCCTACCATGTAAGTTTAGATAGTGTTCTCTAGAGAGGTGCTAGGGGAATTCCCCCACCTACCAAACTCGGTTGAGAATGAATAACTCCTCAAACCTCAAAAGTGCCATCTACAAACGGCAATAATGTAATCTTGATGTTTTTCGCACTCACAGATGAGAGCAGAAGAGTCATTCTGCAGTACCAGAGAGCTCAGGAAGGCTCGGACTACATCAATGCCAGTTTCATTGATGTGAGTATACCTCGTGCACTGTGACTACTGACTGAGATATACCCTCCCTCTCCCCAGGGCTACTACTACCGCAATGCCTTCATAGCCACCCAGGGTCCTCTGCAGAACACGCTGGCCGACTTCTGGAGAATGGTGTGGGAGCACAATGTACCAGTCATCGTCATGCTCACCAAGTGCAAGGAGAAAGGAACTGTGAGTGTCATGCCTGCTTCTGGTGGAGCTGAGATACCTTCTCCCCTCCTTCAGGAGAGGAGTGCTAAGTACTGGCCTGCAGACATAGGCCAGAGTCTCAGCTGTGGACTGTACTCGGTGGAGATGACTCTGGAGAGGAGGTCAGAGCACTACACCTACCGAGACATTGTCCTGGTTGATACTCAGGTACATCTCTCCCCTTCCTTCTCCCTCTCTCTGTTAGTCATTTTACTACCCCAACAGACTGGGAGAAGGAGGCAAGTCCGCCATTTCCACTACCTCTCCTGGCCAGAGGTGGGTGTGCCTTCCTCCTCCGTGACGCTCCTGGACTTCCTGAGAGAGGTTCAGAAGAACTTTGCAACTCTCAACACAAGATCTCCCATCACTGTCCACTGCAGGTCTGTAGTTTAAACTGAATATTGATTATGTTATACTCTCTCCCTGTGTGTGTGTGTCCAGCAATGGTATTGGACGTACTGGAGTGTTCATTGCTCTACACATTCTGCTGGAACGAATGGTGACCGAGGGACTGGTGGATGTGTTCCAAACCATCAAGAACCTCCGTATTCAGAGACCAGCTATGGTCCAGACACTAGTAAGACCCACACTCTAGTTCAGTGGTACACAAGCTCCATGCATTGCTAACTCCACCCCATTAGGAGCAGTACCAGTTCTGCTACACAGCAGCCCTGGACTACCTGGAGACCTCTGACCTGGCAAACCAGCTCCGCACCAGCACTCGCAGCGAGTCCCACTCTCTCAGAGCTGCCTCAAACGCAAGTGAACTCCGGTCATCGCGACGATCCCTCAACCGCAATGATTCTCTGCGTTCGTCGGCCAAGAGATCGTCCCGTAACCTGGAAATATCTCAAGTGGGGAATGGAGTCAGCACCACAGTCTACGGAGACAGCGAAGCCACCAGCACCTTCAGCTCCACCCAACAAAACCTGAGTGTGGCCAAAAGAGCGTCTCAGGAAGACCCATTCCAGAGAGTTCCTCAGGGAAATGGAGGGGAGGGTGTGCCCTCAGCCTCTCCCCTCCCTCCCTCTTTATCTTCCACGCCGCAGCTCCTGCCCAACCTGTCACAGAGCTCCCAGGATCACCCCACCCTTCCTCCCTCCTCTCTCCTTCACAGCAACACCCTTCCCTCAAGAGGAGGGTCCTCAAGTCTCCTGCAGACCCACGTGGCTGCTGGCTCTGCCTCGGCATCGCAGAGCAGTCTGGGCTACTCCGGAGTAACGGCTTACCCCGTCTCCAGTTTCCGGGGGAGAGACTCCGGGGGTCAGATGTCTTCTCAAACAAGCCTCGAGCGAGAGATTGCAGCTCTGACTATGAACATCAATAACTCTAATAGCAATGATACCAGTCGTGTTGTGAATGTGTACATAGAGCCCTAAGCCAATTTTTGTACTCATCAACTCCCACCTTTTTTCATGCGAATTCATAATAATTTTTTTGTGTATTATTCCACAAGTATGCGTTCAAAATGTATTTGAAGTAAGGGCTAGTATTTGCCGTAGTACGGAACCCGTTGGGGCTGCAATCACTTCAAATATGAACTAAGTTTTAACGCTACCAAAGCCACTCTTAGAAATTGCAATAGCTGCTCAATCGTGCCACTTCCACTCTTGGCATGGCCTAGTCTTGTGAACCAGTTTTGAAACCCATTGGGAGCCGTGCTCTCACTGCAAGTTCAGATTTTGAAGTGAGAGACTCATTTTGAAGTGAGAGACTGTTTTGAAGTGAGCACGACGCCAATGGGCTTCCGTACCATAGCTTCAAAAGTCACATAAGCACTTGGCATACGTTACGTATGTATCTGCAGACAACGTAATCTGCATGTGACTGCGAAACACCCATAACACATGGCCAGTACAATGTACAGTGATAGTGGTGTAGGTCTGCAATCATCTCCAGATGACGACGGAGCCGTTGGCTGAAGAGGAGACCAGGCAGTCGGCTGAGGGACTGAAGACCACACCCCACACACACTCCTCCTCATGGCCACTAACACTCCACTCCTGCAGATGCACACTGCAGCCTAACAACCTCTCATCCCAGAATACACCTCACCTGAACACTGGGAGAGGTGTCCAGTAGGGAGATGACTCCATCTCCTCTGGCACAGGCCAGCAGGAGCCCTGCTGGGTCCACAGCCACGCTGTGCAGAGCTGCAGGAGAAAGGTCCCAGGTTTGAACTGGCTCCTGGGGAGTCCTGATGTCCCAGCTGAGGAGTCCTCCCAGGGAGTCACAGGAGAACACCCTCTGACCCTAGAGGAGGGGGAATAAATCAGTCTCAGGCTGCTGTGTGGCGGAGCAAACCTTCATATCTGAAATGACATCGTTGCAGGAGTTTTGGTGGCCAGTGTATGTCTGTACACACAGTCCCTGTCAATGTGGGTGGAGGTGCATCAGAGCATGTGGGAGTGAGGGGTTGGGTACATACTGTTCTGATGTCCCAGAGAGAGAGGGTCTTGTCGGCAGACGCCGAGAGCAGGGAGTTTGAGAAGGGGAGGAAGTGAACTGCATTGACTGAGTCGGAGTGTCCTCGGAGTGTTGACACACACAGGCCTCTGGCAATGTCCCACAGCTTGGAGCAGTGGTCCATGCCCCCGGAGGCCAGGAACTGCCCACTCCAATGCCAACTGCACTGCCACACTGCACACAGAACATGGCTCAATCCACTGAGACATGCAAAGGGCAATATGTGCGCATGCACACGTGCACGTATGACGGTGTACGTAAGCATGTATGCATGGACAATGTAATATGTACAGTACCTGGTTGTCTGTGCTCTGAGAGTGTCAGACTACAGCAAGCTCTGGTGAAGTCCCATAGTTTGACAGACCCATCTCCAGAGGTAGTAGCTAGCAGATCACCTCTGGAGGAGAGAATGATCACTGATCATGTGACAGGTGGGTGGAACATACGATGGATGGAAGGCTGCATGGGAGAGCCAGTCGGAATGACCTTCACCAGTCATCAACAGCTCACAGCTGAGGAAGAGGAGGAGGAAACGATGAGAGAGAGAGAGAGTTTCGGTTTTACCTCTGGAGAGTCCACATCTTCCAAGTGTGGTCATCGCTGGCTGTGACCATAACCTCCTTACTGGGGTGTACATCAACACTATAGGGTACGGAGGCAAGGTTTCAGTTGCTTACAGAAGCCACTGTCATTGGTGGGCCATTGGGGATATTTGTTCACATTAACAAGGGGCCTGGCGTTACACACACTGATGGAAACTTGGTGTTGAAGGAAGAGCACCTGCTGGTGGCAAACTGGTGAGCGGAGAAAGTGTGTACAGGTTGGAGTCCCCCAGTCCTAGTGAGGTGAGTGGAGGAAGGCAGAGTGCTCTCCTGCAGGTAGGGGTTGGCTGGCTCTCCTGGGATCACGGTCGGAGCAGGCTGATGGAAACAGTATACCACAGATCAGATCAGGACCCACAGACCAGCAGCTCTGTGCATACCTTGACTGGCATGGCTGCAACTGGTGCCGAAGGCTCGGGACTCACTGAGGAGAAAGAGAAAGAAGTGAGGTTTGTGTGAGTCGGAGAGAGACTGACAGTAGGACGGTTTCTGCTGGACTGAGTGTAGAGTGGACTGCAGACACTCTACCTGCAGAATAGTGGGTCCAACAAAAAAAGCAAAAAAATTTTAAACTTCTCTCCCTCCCAGCTCACCTCAGAGAGGGCTCTGTCTCTCTCCAGAGAGGCCAGCATCTTCTCTCTTGTGACCGACTGCAGCCACAAATTATTTGTCAGAGGAGGCGGTATTGTGGGTGTGGCTACACACCTGGTATTTCTTCCTCAGTGTCTGCAGAAGAGGCTCGTAGGATGAGAAGTGTTTGCGGAGTCTGTCAGCCTCTGTGGCCAACAGGGACTTCTCCTGCAGGATCCTGCGGTGCTGCATGCGATGGTAGTCCCTCTCCTTCTTCAGTCTGACATACTGCTCCTGAGACATCCTGTGAGACAATTAGAGTGACATCATTGTCTCCCACCACTGGATGAGGTCCACCTGGCTGCCTCTCTTTGCCTGAGGAGCTCTCTCTCCAGGTCTCCCAGCCTTTCTTCCAACTGTCTGTTCCTGTGACAGACACAACAACTAACTGCAGATACACATCAAGAGGAGACTAACTGTGCATGAACATCAGGTAAGGTCTGAGAGAGGTGGGTGGGTAGTCTTCCAGTCACCTGTAACTCATACCTACAACATGTATGACCTCATGAGAGTGTGGGTGGAGAGGGTAGAGGAGCTCACCACTCTGCCTGGAACATGTCTGCTGTCTTGTGTAGACCCACACTCACCAGAAAGTTACGTACAAAGTCCTCCACCACCTCCTTCCTTTCCTGGTACCCCACACCCATTACTGCGAGGCTCCAGAGAGAGGGACTGACCTCTGGTTGATGCTGAGGACCTGCGTCCTGCTGAGGCCCCTTCCCAGAGTCTGCAGCAATGTGCTGAAGAGCAGTGCCGAGATCCTCTTCTCCAGACGAACACACACTACCCCCCACAGACACCTGTACATTACCACAACCAATCATCAATTAGGATTGACTGGCAGGAGATGCGTAAACACAAAGGAAGAATAGTGCCATGAAAGCAGTATTGAAGGCCCTATACAGGAAGACCCCTGTGACATTGGCTTTTCTTATCACCAGAGGACAAGAGAGGCCATCCACATTAAAAGCATAATTAACGGAGACAATAGTCTGGATAATTCGCACACAAGGGATTCTCCCTCTGTTCAGAGTTTCATCCACAGAAGGGTAGCTAACGCCCCAGATCGGCGAAATTTCGCTTACCTCTCTGTACGAGAAGTTGTCTTCACTGTCGGCCTGCAAGTTCTTGGCTGCAGAGACATAAAATTATCAGCCATCGCACCATTTGGCGGTGCTGTGAGCCCACCTTGCAGGTAGTAAGTACCGGCAGCCATTGTTAGGGTTACCGTGTAGTCATGGAAACACGGGGTCATGTGACTTGCCAGCTGCAATCCTCCGTATACTATTGCTACACGTGTCCCTCTCTTCCCCCCTCTCTCTGTGTGTGTCTGCTGCAGTGGCGGATGGCTCTGACGTGGCAGCCCGACCCGGGCTCGCTGCAGCAGATCATGCACCTTCTGAAGGAGAGTCAGAGTCCCGACACCAAGACTCAGCAGGAACTGAAACCCGTGAGACAGTCGCTGAGTACGTGCGTTTGTGTGTGAGTGTTTGCTGTGTATCCTCAGAAACTGGAGGCCCTGAATCAGTACCCAGACTTCAACAACTATCTGGTCTATGTCTTCACTAAGGTAGTGCACTGATGGTGTAGTTTGCCTGCTAGTGAGGACTCTGTGTGTGTGCAGGTGAAGACAGAAGACGAGCCAACCAGGGCCATAGCTGGGCTCATTCTCAAGAACAACGCCAAAGTCTACTATGCCAGTTTCCCTGCTGAGATCAAGAGTTTCATCAAACAGGAGGCACTGCAGGCGATTGGAGACCCCTCCCCCCTCATTAGGGCCACAGCTGGGACCCTAATTTCCACCATTGCCATGAGAGGAGAGCTGGCCAGTTGGCCGGAGCTCCTCCCCTCTCTCTGCCACTTCATTGACGATCCAAACTACACTGTGTGTGAGGTGAGCCTCTGTCCCTTCTCCCACACATCTCGCTCCACTCTGCCATGTGCAGGGAGCCTTCTCTGCCCTCCACAAGATCTGTGAGGATTGCTATGACCAGCTGGACAGCGATGCCCTTGACAGACCTCTCAATGTGCTCATTCCCAAGTTCATTCAGTTCTTCTCTCACCAGAGTCCCTCTATCAGGTCTCTTCCTCTCCCCTCCCTCCCTCCCAATGTCTTACTGGATGTGTTTCTGTGCAGGTCTCATGCGATAGCTTGTGTCAATCAGTTTATCATCACAATGCCAACAGCCCTCGTTGCAAACATTGTCCCTTTCATTGAGGTAGGCTGACTGTTGACCAATCCTTCACGATCTCCCTCTCCCCCTCTTTGTCGTAGGGTCTGTTTGCGGTGGCTGGAGATGAAGACCCAGAGGTGAGGAAGAACGTCTGCAGGGCTCTAGTGATGCTGCTAGATGTGCGAGCCACTGACCTCCTCTCTCACATGCACCCTATCATTGAGGTATGCTCCACCCACATTTCCCCCCCAACTCCTGTATACACTCGGCTGATATGAGCCGTCATATGACCTGCATTGCTGTCATTCCTGCTGTGAATATGACTGCCTGCAGTACATGCTGGTGAGGACCCAGGACGCTAATGAGGCGGTGTCTCTCGAGGCCTGTGAGTTCTGGCTCACTCTGGCTGACCAGGCCATCTGTAAGGAAGCTCTTGGTCCACACCTCAACCAGTGAGCTGCCAGTCTTGGTGGGGGAGTGGGTGGGGTGACAGTATCACTGTGTTCTATAGGCTCATTCCAATCCTTCTGAATGGGATGAAGTATGCGGAGATTGACCTCATTCTATTAAAGGTAAGTAATTACAACCTCTCTCTGTTCCATGTTGACAGGTCTACTGAAATGCAAGTCCCCAGATTACTAACAGACACATACATTATGTATAGAATCCTGATGATCTATTGTAGGCTGATGCAGAGGAAGACCAGGATGTCCCTGACAAAGATTCTGACATCAGACCTCGGTTCCACAGAGCCAGGACCCATCACCAGGAAGGAGCCAGGCCTGATGGGGCCGACGGTGACGATGACAGAGACAGTGACGAGGAAGATCTGACTGCTGACTCTCTGTCCGACTGGAACCTTCGCAAGTGCTCAGCTGCAGCGCTGGACGTGTTGTCCAACGTGTTTAACGAGGATCTGCTGCCGGTTCTCCTCCCCCTGCTCAAACAGAACCTGTCCTCCCAGGTACACCAGACCACGCCCACTGCCACACCCACTAATCTCCACTGCAGGACTGGCTGGTTAAGGAAGCGGCAATCTTGGCTCTGGGGGCAGTGTCTGAAGGCTGTATGAACGGGATGCTGGCCCACTTGCCACAGCTTGTGTCATTCCTCATCTCCTCTCTCTCTGACCGGAAGGCTCTGGTCAGATCCATCACGTGCTGGACCCTCTCTCGCTACTCACACTGGATCGTCAGTCAGCCTCATGACCAGTTCCTCAAGAGACTCATGTCTGAGGTAAAGTTACGGCGATTGGTCCCACATGTAAGCCAAATAGCTAGCGGAGAAAGAAGAAAGTGAGATCAATGTCTGTCTGGAGAGATGGAGGGCTGGCCCAAAATTTTAAACAAATAATTATTGCCACTGCACTGAACTAGAAATCTGTCCAAAGAAGTGGACTGGCACATAAATTTTTTTTCAATTTAGGTTTTCCCCTAAAACAATCAATGTAATGTTTATGTGCATGTGTAGGACTGAACTCAACCTAACTCTATTTGGATTGCCCTATCATTTTTGGTGTGCACATAGGAAGAGTATGTTTATAACTCTGTCTTGGTCAGAAAAAAAACTAGCGCCACAAAACCTACCACTCTTGAGAGTGTACATAATGTTGAACTTAGTGGTGAGCAGTGGGGTGAGAATTATGACCTCAGTGGTGAGTTTCTCTGAGTGCTTTCATCAACCTCTGGTCTGTATGTCCATATGCCACTGTCCACAAATATTGTTCTACACTGGCTTTCCAGTAGTGTACTATAACATACTGGTATGTGTATGTGTATAAAGCTGCTGCAGAGGGTCCTGGATTCCAACAAGAGAGTGCAGGAAGCTGCGTGCTCTGCCTTTGCCACTCTGGAAGAGGAGGCCTGCACTGAGCTGGTGCCTTACCTGGCAGAGATCCTCCAGGTCTGCTCCCATCCCTCCCTCCCTTCCTTCCCCCTCAACCTCTGTCTGTTTATGCAGGTGCTGATGTCTGCCTTCTCCAAGTATCAGGCCAAGAATCTGCTCATCCTCTATGACGCCATCGGAACTCTCGCAGACTCTGTTGGCAACCACCTCAACAAAGCAGTAAGTCATTCTCTCTGTATTTCTGAGTATCTGTCCCTGTGTCCCAGGAGTTCATTCAGCTCCTGATGCCTCCTCTCATTGGCAAGTGGAATGAACTCAAAGACGAAGACAAAGATCTCTTTCCTCTGTTAGAGGTACATATGTACAATAATAGATAGGTTCACTTGAATACTTCTCCCTCTCCCCAGTGCCTGTCGTCAGTGGCCACTGCTCTGCAGTCGGGGTTCCTGCCATACTGTGAGCCAGTCTTCCAGAGGTGTGTGGGACTAGTGGCCCACACCCTGCACCAGACTCAGGTGGCCATCGCTAACCCCGAGCTCTGCGCTCCTCCTGACAAGGAGTTCATGATCGTTGCTCTCGACCTCCTCTCTGGTATATACTGAGTCTTCCTCTCACTTGGCACTCTCCCTCTTTACTTTGACCCACTCCAGGCATGGCAGAGGGGCTGGGCAGCAATATTGAAGCTCTGGTAGTTCGCTCCAACATCCTGACCCTCCTCTACCAGTGTATGCAGGACCCAATGCCGGAGGTGCGACAGAGCTCCTTTGCTCTTCTGGGAGACCTCACCAAAGCCTGCTTCCAGCATGTCAAACCTTGTGTAGGTGAGGTGTGTGTCTTGTGGGTGTGGCCTCAGGCTGATGTGGTGTGTTTGCAGGCGAGTTCATGCAGGTCCTGGGCAGGAACTGAACACTGCCTGTATCAGTGTTTGCAATAACTCCACGTGGGCCATTGGAGAGCTGTCCCTCCAGCTGGGGAAGGAGATGCAGCCACACCTACAGCTGGTCCTCTCTCAACTCATTGAGAATATCAACAGACCTGTGAGCAACTTGCCATATGCTAGACTGGCCACGTATGATGTGCTCTTATTGGAACCTGCAGAACACCCCAAAGACCTTGCTGGAGAACACAGCCATCACCATCGGCCGACTGGGGTTGGTGTGTCCGGTTGAAGTGGCTCCTTTCCTGCCGCAGTTCCTGCCCATGTGGTGCCAGACTCTGCGGACCATCAGGGACAATGAGGAGAAGGACTCTGCCTTCCGTGGGATATGTGCCATGATCAGTGTCAACCCTCAGGGAGTCCTCCAACACTTCATGTTCTTCTGCGACGCCGTGGCCTCCTGGAATACTCCTAGAGACGATCTGAAGGAGACGTTCCATAAGGTGGGCACTGTACCTTGTGGCCGAGGAGAGAAGTCAGCTTTCATCTCCACAGATCCTCCATGGGTTCAAGAACGAGGTGGGAGAGGACAACTGGCGGGCGTTTGCGGAGCAATTTCCCCTTGCACTGAAGGAGAAACTGGGCACTACCTATCATGTGTGAATGCTGTGGTGAGACTGTCAGGAATGGCGTCGTGTCTCCTCACCTCCCGACACTATCCCTCCTCAGATTGCAGTCGTCTTTGTCTGTCTGTCACTCTGTGATTCTTGTTCTGGGGCAAGGAGCCGCTCTCTTCTAGGCCGACAGTTTATTTTTCTTAGACAATGGCAGGCTCGTTTCAGAGGTCCCCTCCCCCCACTCCTGTTAGTGGGTAGGGAAAAGGGCCTCTTAGGACGTTTCAGATTATCTTTAGAAGTCCGTTTTCAGGTTTTGGTTTTGGGTACCTGCTGCTCAGCAGCTACCCATCTTCTGTGTGTGATGCAACTGCTTTGGTTTGGCTGTTGCTCTGCAGCACAGCCCTTTATTCTATAGCTCTTTTTAGGCTCAATGTTTTGTTGTATCATTAGGAGTTATTAACTGCTGTACTCTCTCCCTCTCCCCCTCCTGGCTCTGCTCTGTGTATGTGTTGTGTGATGTCATTTCGTGTCAATCAAAACTTCAGTGGACAGTGGGTAGGCATTAGCTTGCACTCTCTAAGATCTGAAGACTTAGTGTGTAAGAGCTTAACTGCATTGGTGGTCACCCAAACTATTGGGTATGTGCAATAATGGCATAGTTAATAGGATTGGCAGGTAATCCAGCACAGAGGCGAACATGCCACACCACATGTGTACATTTTTGACCTTTGCTTTGAATACAGGTTTTGACTGGTCTAAGTGTCCAGAGCATGTGTCAAGCTACAAAGAAACACATGCTCCGTAATAATATATTATTACTGAACTTCAACTGCGGTCAGTGCCGAGGATTTTATACTCTTATGTTAGTCTGAAGCCACTTACAGTGGCCATGAACACATGAACACACACGCAACAACACACAACATGGTGCTCTCTGTACTGTACGGTACGGTAGGTCAATGTTCAGGTCTTTAGACTCTTCTGTGGGGTGGGGAACAAGATGAAGACACTCTTCACACAGGCAGAAGTGATGACAGACCTTTATTTTGTTCTGGAGTCCTCGAGGTAGCTTTTCTCGGGTTGAGTACACGTATTCATCTGTCAGTTGGAGCTTTCTGCCGGTGCTGCACAGCACCTAGAGAACAAATTACCTCAAGACTGTACATCATACACCAGGCGGAGTCTCACCGTGTAGAGAGGGGCAGAGTGCTGGCCCAGGACCGTGGTGGGGTAGATCTGACCATCACTCCATCTTACTCTCAGCTTGGAGCCCTGCTGTGGAGGACTGCTGGGAGAATCCTGAGACCAGAGAGAGAGGAATACCAGCAGATCTGACAAATGTAACTCACCACAATGTCTCCTGGACCAAGGTTGCTGCAGACTGAGCCGTCCTCAAATGAAACCTCGTACTGTGTCTGTGAGCTGACCTCCACCACCTTACCAGACACCATCTTGCCACCCTGCTCCACATACACTTCATCTCCAGGTCCTATTTCCAGCCCAGCCTGCTCCTCCTATACACAGTCAGGTGTGTGTGTGTGCGGGGAGTCAGGGAGGCTGGAGAGGACTGACCTGGACCATGTAGTGCTTGTGGCACACCAGTCCACTTCTCTCCCCACATTCCTCAGTCAGGAGACCTCTGTACTGGGCGCAGGTCACGTGGAACGCCGAGTAGCAGCGGTCCCTCACACACTGCACGCACACCCCCAGGCCACGGGTCATGGTTGCTTGCACTGGCAGACACATGCAGCACCTCTGCACACAGTCATTCCTGCTGAGTACACACGTAGACACCAGAGAAGACTGTCTGACCAGCTTCTTCCTGGATCGAGGGATGTCGGAGGCCAGGACTGGCTCCTTGCGAGAGGAGTCCTCAAGGAAAACCTCGGGAATGGAGACAGCACACACCAGGTGGGCCCAGCGACCAGTAGTGGTTGGCTTCAGAGCTCCTCCCCTCAACACACACAGACAGCACTCCTGAAGAGAGACATTGGTTGCAACAGAACCAGTCACAGAGAGAAGAACCCACGGCATTAACAGCCTTCTCACTGCAACGTGTGCACTGCCAGTCCTGGGTAGGTAGTGGAGCATCACCCGTCACTCCATAACAACCTTATGGTGGAGAGATTCACTTGACACAAATCAAACCTATTGGAGGCTCACCTCTGTGGACTGTGATGTCACATGACTGGCATGTGATCAGTTGTGAGTCGGCATCGTCCTGTTCAAGGCTGGGCTCCCTCTTCATAGCTCTGCGAGACCTTCGTCTGCCGCGAGTCTCTCCCTCTCCTCCCTCCACACTGCACCTGCGGCGCAGACTGCTGGGCAGCTCGATGAGTGCTCTCTGTACCACCACCTTCAGTGACCGAACCCCTCGACTCCTGCACAGACCACACCCACACACTTGACCACACCCTAAAGACCACACCCAGGACTGACCTCTCTGAGTGCTCACTGATCTGGAGTCCCTGAGAGGCAGTTCTGATCTGGGCGGAGTCCATTCCACGGTATGGACTGTGGACATCAAAGATGGAGCAGATACAGCAGCGAGTCGTGCCACGAGAGGCCAGCTGGTTGAAGGCCCTCTCCAGAGCAAAGTTTCGTGGCTGGCTATGCCACAGTCCACTGAACCTCTCAGTCCAGTCCTACACACCACACACACACACACACACACTGGCCCAACTGTGGCGATGAGAAATATCTGAACTTACATTCTTTACTGGGTCAGCGATCCTCTGTCTCTTGACGGAAGTAGAGAATGAGAGAACGGGTCCTTGACTGGCTCTCTTCCGGCCCAACAAACTACTGCATAGCAGGAACAGTAAGTGGTCATAATGTGAGCAGCATAGCTTACTCTTCGGTCTGTAGAGCTGGGGACTCGGAATACTTCTGTCTGTAGTACGCCCTCCACTGCTCAGGCTGCGCAGTGACATGATAACATTGCTTGCAGAAAAAGCTAGAAGCTCACTTGGTATTTCTCTACGAAGTAGTCCATATTGATTCTGACATTGTCGGGCTGGCACTTGCACTGCGTTGCTCTCTTGCCAAAGTCAATCCACCTGACAGAGGCAAAGTTGGTTGATTCTGCACAGTTGAGGCCTGCATTGAATCCAGAGTGGTAGCCGTAGGGAAAGGTGATGATAAACTGTCCTTCTTCCTGGGTCACCTGCATACATACGGGCTACAGTATGGCATTCTCACACCCAATCCTTCGGAGAAGGTACCTTGTTGACTTGGATTGAGTTCTGTCTGAGAACCGAGGGAGAGAGGATGGACATCTTATGCCTCAGGAAACTGGCGCACTCGTCTGCACACTCTGGGAAAAGACCTACGGACAGACAGTGTTAGTGGAAGCTCAGTAAGAGACAAGTTGGAGATGAACCTTTGGCAAGTCTCTCTAGCTTTGGTCCATGTTCAGGAGAGAGAGAGTACCTGGGGAAACAGGATCTAGTGACAGACAGTCAGACGACACGTCAGCGACAGACCAGAGTTTGGGGGCTCCGAAGTGGAGGTAGTTGATGGAGTAGAGGTCCATGTCCTCAGTGTGCCAGGCAAAGGAGGTCTTCCACATCCCGAAGTAGAGGTAGGCGGTGTTGACTCCAGGAATAGCCACTCCGTACTCGTCCACCATTCCGTCAAGAATGGTGGCTAGTCTATTGATGTTCCACTCTTTCACACTGGGCTCAGTCAGAGTCCCTGGTGTGAACAACGTCACCCAGTGAGGCCACTGAATAGACTCAATGTCTTGCCACTCACCCTGTATGTCTGCTCCATACAGAGGCTGGTTGAAGGTCACATTCTTCCAGTACTTTCTCTCCAGCTCCTCCAAATTGCTGTACTTCGGAGGTTTGTACCTGCAGGGGACATTCACTTTGCCATACTTCGCTAGCGACAAAGCAGCGCTGTCTCACTGGTCGCTGTTGGCCTTGGCAGCAAACTCGTTGTACGTTAGCGCCTTCTTTTGGATGTTATAAAGTTGGTAGATCCCCTGCTGACCGGACACGAACTGGCTGACTGGAGTACTGATAACCACAGAGCCAATGTCCGCATAGCTTCTCCGCGGACACCATTCCTTCGGTGGAATAACCTACAGCGAGGCGACCCGCTTGTAAAGTCGGCAAGGAAGTTAGTCCTGTACCTTAGCAATGCCGAACTTGTGCGCGCCCTGGTCCTCCATGTAAGCCACGAATGCAGAGAAGTCTCTGAACTGCTCCATGGTAGGCGAGAAGCACATAACACCGCCCGGCTCCATACGCCACGACATTTTGGGTCGGCAAGACAAGCGGATCTTTGCGAAGAGCAAAACAACGGATAGGATTACGTCATAATATGCGCATGCGTACAAACAAGAGTGTAAAAATTCATCTAGTCGATGAAGAAGCAGTCGTTGAAGAGGGAACAAATCCGGAGCTAAAATAGTAATACTGCAGAAAGATAAATAAAATGTCATAAAGTGTAAAACACAATGAATTACTACCTTGAATCCCACACCAAGTCCTGCATGAACCAGACCCAGCATAACTAGGATCACGACAGCAACCTGACGGAATAACATATGAAACAGGCACACAATGGAGACTGGCCGAGATCACCTGGACACGTTCACTCTGCAGTGGTTTCCACAGAGCTCTGACCAAGACTGACACTAGGACGAGAAGGACACTCAATATGGTGACATGAGAAGAAAGAGACCTAACCAGAGAGAGAGAGCCCCACAGCCAGAGCCAGCCAGCGGACAATGACACTATCCAACACCCAGATCACCTGAAGAAGAGGGCATTGAGTCCAACCAGGACAGTGGAGAGACACACACACTCACTACAACAGGAATGAAGACAGCAATGGAGTAGCCGTAGATGGCAAGGAGTTGGGTCAGTGTGTACTGGTCGCCACGGTTTCTCCACCACAGCCCCGCCCAAAGGGTGAGTGGTACCAGCCAGGTGTAGCTGTAGAGGACTGTGCCCAAGACAGTGACATCATGGAAATGAAACTCCCAGTCACTCTGTTCACTGCAGCATCACCCATTACCACACACACTGGGAGTATGAACCACTGAACCTGAAGACTCTGGCAATGTTCCCTGACACAGCTATGGAGAAGATGAGAGTGGCGCAGAGCCAGAAAGGACCATAGAGGTCAGGATTTGGGTGGAGGGCATCTGTCAGACTAACTCTGACTGGAGTCATTCCTGCAAACACTCGGTAGAGAACCTGCATACCAGACAGACAGCCAGTCACTGGGGACCGAGGGTGATGGCAGGGGACTGGACCTGAGATGTGGTGACATCAAAGAAGCTCTGGTAGTACTGGAAGGACAGAAAGCTCGGCTCAGATGATGTGGATCCACTCTTTTCCTCCAGCAACTGCAGGCCACATAAAACAATGGTTTGCTTTTCTCTAAGCATAAAACCCTGACCTTGTCAGAGTCCTGGGGCTCACTACTTATCTCCCCTCCCTCCATGTCCCCCAGAGAAGCCGTCCCAGGGTCCGACAGGTGGAAATCTTCACACACAATGTGCCAGGCTAATAAACCTCTGGTAGTATTGTAAGCATTTACCTTTGAACTCGTACCCTGTTTGCTGGCTCTGCAGTGTCTGAGAGGGAAAGAAACAGTAAAATAACAACGACCTCTTCATTGTGGGTTTTCTTCTTACCGAGAAATCTATCACCACTTGATCCTCGCCTCCTGCCATCTTCGATGTGTACACATAAAACTCTATTTAGAGCACACCATCAAAACTCTATTTAGAACACACCCGACGCATCTGGTCCTGGTTGGTTTAGGTGCGCCTTGTGGCGCGACAGCTCGGGGGACAGGACGGTGTCGTCTAATGCGTAGTATGGACGCAATTACCTCTGCTAATCAGTTGACTAGTAATGTGTCGTCGGAAGAAATGGTGGATGAACTGCTAAGTACATTGCTTGGTGAAGTATGCGAGAAAGAAGTTGAATTTCTGCCTCTTCCCCGCTCCCAGCACGTTGACGTGTGTGAGACAGTGAGGCTTCACTCACCTCAGCACGTGCTGGGTGGCTACTGCGAGCGAGATGGAGGCTTGGAGCTGCTACAGGTGGAGTGTGTGGACCAAAAGGCATCGGGTAGGAGGGTCTGTGGTGTGGTGAACTGACTTATCTACCCACCTTTGGTCCCACAGGGTACTGTGGACATTACTGCCTCTACCTCGCCATTTTGTGCCTGCAGCTCTACCACTGTGTTAGTCATGATGAGGCCCTTGTTCTGCTGCAAAAGACGCGCTCAACCGTTCAGTTCTGGAGGAGGTGAGCTCAACTGACCTTCCTTTTACTAACATACGGTATTCCATTTTGTAGGTACTGGGTGTCTATTGGTATACTGCTGGCTCACGTACGGGCCCATCCAGAGGTCCTTTGGTGGCCTTGGACACAGCATCACGTGATGCTTGGCGAGATGGAGAGGTCCTATCTAGCTTATCTCCTCACCTTTGATCCTTCACTGACGGCATTGGGTGGACGACAGAAGATATCTGTAGTTCATGTTGGTTGGAGTGGTTGTCCCAATCCATTTATGACATTATCTCCTCACAGTTTGCTTATGGCTGTGTCCTGAACTCTACAGAAGAGATTCTGAAACTGCAGGAGACAATAGAGGAGCTACGAAAAACTCGTGGGCACCATGTGTTTATTCTGGGAGTCACGAATCACTGGGTCACTCTCTACACCTACCACAGAACACAGTCATGGTGCAGGGGAGCCCGGCTTGCCATGCTCTACTGGGACTCTAACAATTTGACTGTTCTTGGAGCTAGTGACAATGACATACACCAACTTGTTGATAAGAAAGAGAAGGAAAGAATGAGGGTAAAGGGTTGTGGGTATACCTCTTGGAAGAAAGCTGTTTTCACGCAAGCTCTACGTGATCAGCGAGACCTGGTGACTTTGCTTGCCAGATGTATCAGCGGACGGCAGCAGTTTGCACAGTGTGTATTGTGTGGACACTGGAATACGGTACTGAGCAGTTTTGAGGAACACATGGTACGAGCCAAGTTAGAGGAGGATATTTTCTTGCCTTTACTGCTGCAGTGGCTGGAGACCCAGCACCAGCCCAGCAGCCTCAGAGACCACCAGGTGACGACGTGACTGTTTCCCCGAGTGTCACGTGTACCTCTGTTGCTACAGGTGCACATGATGAGGGAGCTGGGGGCTGACTGCTTGAGTAAGGAGATGCGGGCCATGCTGGCAGAATGGCTGCAGTATTGTTTGAGCCGGCTGGCTGCTTATCGTGGGGGCATACCGCTAGTTGACTCATTCTCAGCTGTGCTCCAACAGCTCAGACAGTTTTTTTGACATCAGAAATTTTACATTGCGCATGCGCGCTGAAGCTCGCAGGGAGCTCAGAATTAATTATGGTGGTAAGCCGCGCACAGACAGGGTTGCGTGAAGTGCCCTACACTTGCCTTTGCAGCGAATTGGTCTGCAGCTGAAGGCGACGCTAGAGAATGTGACGGCTCTTGGACCAGGGGAAGAGTTCCGTTGGTACATGAAGGTACGTATATAGCTAGTGCCAAAGTGACGAGTGTACACTCGAGTGCAGTTACGGTGCGCAAACTGTGGGGAAACAACTCAGAAGTGGATCTATGCCACAACGCTGGTTGGTGAAGATGCCGCAAGATACTGTTGACTATTAGTTGAGCACACAGGAACTGAAGGATGTGAAGGGAGGCAGAGGTAAGGCACATCTGGTGGTAAAGTGCAAGCTGTGTGGCAGGGAAAACAATTTGCGTGAGTCCAAAGTCCAGGACTTCATCACCATCTTATATGGAAGCTCGTGTATACCTTCAGAAATACTGGAAGACCTGATCAGACCTTACAGTGTTAGTTCAGAGAAAACCACTCCTCAACCTGACATAAGGTATATATACCTGTGTACTGCAGGAGAGTGAAAAGTTTCAGACAATAGTGGTTTTTGAATGCCGTGGACTTGAGCCTGTGGAGTTTGATCCCAGGGTAATAAACCTGTAGACAAAGCAATACGAAAATAATTATTACAACATTCTGTTCTTCCATTGTATAGGGAGGTTGGACAGCCGTAGGTGTTGACAGTGGTACAAAGTTCCTTGATGTCGACCTGTCACAGAAGGTTGGTGCTCAGTCAAACTACATCTCATGCTCATGTAACCAACTATGATAGGAATGGAGTGATTATGACGAGAGAGCACAGCAGCCAGTCAGCATTCTGGACATCAGTTCAAGATTCATTAAAATGTGATCACTGTATATGCAGTGATTAATGTAGATTTGATGTTATATGTGACAATGGGACAATGTGGATATTATGATCGTGTTATAATGTGTATAATTATACAATGTGATATTATGATCGTGTTGTGTACAATGTGGATTATGATCGTGTTGTGCATGTACAATGGTGTATAATAAGTGTACAATGTTGATAATAAATGTTGTACGATGATGATATCAAGCCTTTACATTATACTACAATATGTTACTTGATGTCACAGAGCAAGGCCACCCCCCTGAGGATCCAGTAGTCAGGGTTGGCTGCTTGGCCTGGGGAGGTGGGTGTACGAAGACTAACTGCCGTGATGTAGGTGAGGTCTGTGCGACGAGGCTTCTTGTACACTGGGCAGAAATACAGTTTGTTGTCTTGCAGATGGTCGGAGGAGTTGACAGCATAGAGGTGGATCACAGGGAGAGGGGTGAAGAGGACTTTGGCAGGAGGTTCCATGAGGCGACTGGTCTTGCGATCCCAGCCTGCTCCGTCTAGGTACAGTCCGTACACATAGACACCTTCAGGTGGTGGTTGCGATACATCCTCTCTCATCATACGAGTCACGTCGTTGTGAAGCAGCACCGAGTCAAGGGCCCAGCCCTTATGAGCCCGAGTAACTTCCTGTCGCATGGCTGTCAGGAAGCCCTGAGGATTGAAGAACCCAGTCATCCAGAAGACGTTGGGGCGAGCTTTGAACACCCAGGATGAGAACTGGTTGTTGCGTTCCAGCAGCTCTGTGAACCAGAACCCAAGAGTAGAGGATTCCCATGAGATCTGTCCAGACAAAAGGAAGCATGAAAGGTGAGGCTGAGAAGTTAGAACAAACCTTTCTCCATATTTGTGGCACTTTAGCATCAAATATGCTATCAAGAGCATCCCTCAAGTTCTGTGGATTGCTCACTAACGTGATAAGACATGCATGTTGTTGACACTAACCAACCTGACTCATGATAATAGTTCCTTCAATTGCTAGCTGCAAGTCTTGCAGAGTGGAGTGCACAAGACCGAGCACTCGCTGCATGCGGTCAACCTCCTGCCGCAGGAAGATGTTCATACTTGACAAGATTCCCATCTTCTGCAGTCTAGCTTTGACCTGAACAGAGTTGAGTGTGTGAATGTGTGTGTGTGTGTATAGAACCACATTTCGCAGAGTGGGTCATACGTACTTCGTGAGGAACATAGTCATCTGGAAGTTTCTCCAACATGTCAGTGGCAATGCGGAACACTCGGCTCTCCCGTGTCTCTCCACCACCACTGCTGCTGTCCTTTGGCTGGATACTCATGATAGTATCCAGCACCTCCTTTGCCATGTTACTCTGGTACCTACACACACAGAGTTGTCTTGAGAGCTCTATACCATGAGTAATCTTTTCTCACGTGATGTCAGCATTGGGGTGGAGCCCAAACACCTCTGGAGTGTCCACCAGTGGGAGGTGGTCGATGAACTCCCTACACTGCTCAATGGTCTTGCAATGTGGAATACTATAGCCCTTGTAAAAGTTGAATGTTTCGGCAAACATGTGATCTCCAAACCACACCTGTGGTTCAAGGAATAATTATAATGGAGCCATAAGAAGTGCAGTGCTAGTGAGGACCTTGGCAAAAGTGTTGAGAAGCGTCTTGTCATAATCATCAGTAACTCTGCCACCATACTGGACCTCCCCCAGCATGTAGCGTACTGTACTCCAGCATATACCCTGAAAGAATTGTGGTTGTTCTTTTGCTGTAGTTGCATGAACACACAGCCCCTTACCCTCTTGGGGTCCATGTCGTCAAGGTGGTTCTGGACAAACTGCACGCTGGCAGTGAAGTCGGCCTGGTTGAACTCATATGGAATATTCCACCCCAGTGGACCAAACTTCCTCCGCTCCTGGACCGTGGTGTGCAGGAAAGCCACAGCATACAACACAGGTCTCCACTGAGAGAGATTGGAGTAGTCCAATTGCTCCTGTGAGATCCCTGCATAGGTCCTCTTCAGGCCTGCTTTCACTCCTTGTGGTGGCTCATTGGTGAACTTGATACTGGCCTGTAACAAACGGAAAACATTTGGACTTAAGTATAATAACTATTTTGGGAAAATTTGTATCAATGTACCTGGAGCAATGATATGGGAAAATTGGGGTGGACTTCAGTTGTGATCCAGATACGGGAGGCCTGGTGGACGCTGTCAGTCTCCAGGACAGTCTGCAGGAGCTCATCCATGAAGTCCAGCCCAAGATGGCAGTTCTGCAGAAGTACCCAAGTACCCTGTGCAGTGCACAGAACATGTGACGGTGAGCAGAAGAGGGAGTGGTTCAACTCACATTTGTCATACTCTGCTGCAGTAGTCGCCGAGCATGCACTTCCTGCCCTTGGCCCATAGAAATGGAGTGGCAATCTAGTTGCAGTTTCTTGGCCAGGCCCTCAATATTGTTGGTGGGATCGGAGCCCATTGATAGGAAGCAAATAAGAGGTGTCCGAGTATTACTCTCAGCACACATGGCCTCCAGGTCCAGTATAACTCCTTCTGCGTATCTTTTCCCCATCACGTCTGCTATATATTTTCTGGCCTGAGCCAGTGTGCGGTCAGGACACCAGCATCTGCAAACACACACACATACACTTGTTACTGTCCTGGACACAGTATTTAGGTCAGACCTGATAAGTAGCAGTTTCTTGAACGAGTCAAGAGACAAATGGTAGCCCTCAGGAATCTGAGCTTCTTCTGGAGCCTCTTTGTCAAACCAGGCTTTCCATGTTCTCTCATTGCGGGATACCTACAGACAATAATGGGCATAAAGTCAACTACAAGGTAAGGCAAAGGCACAACAAACAAGTCAAGGCAGCCCAAGGCGCACGCTGGGATTCGAACCCACGACACTATGCTGTCTAGGCGAGTGCTCTACCAACTGGCAACTCAGTTTGTCAACACAATACACAACACGATACATGTACGTACAACACCTGATCGAGAATTTTTGAGAACTGAGGCAGCTTGCTCAGCTCTACCAGATTCAGCCAGATCATGTCTGTGATCCATTTGGCTGGCTTTGGAGGGCATGCCTTGAGGTCCAGTGCAGCCCCACCTGGTGAAGAGAATTGTGTAGCTACACAAGGTTTGGGAAATTAAATATACCTTTGATGAAGGTTTGAAAGTCGTCATGTTGGATTGTTCCCTCTTGTAGCCCTATCTTCAGTGGCAACAGAAGTGTGAAAAGGAACTTATGTTGCTCATAAAGACCACGGCAGGAATAGCAGAAAACAGAATAGGTCAAGTAGTCAATGATGCTGTGGATACGTTTGCTGGTGACGGGGGATTTCTCTGATCTGGAAAATGTCAGTACACAAGTTATTTTACACAAACTAGCATGTTTCTGTGTATAATCACACAGTGCCTCCATGCCCAGTCTAAGTTTAGATGTGTTATTGTTGCTATGGATGTTATTTGGTACTCAGGTGAGTATATAGACATTGACGGTCAATTTTTGTATAGTTACTGATCACATGCCACAAGGCCACAAACACCACTGTGTGCCACATTTTGTAAATTGTGGTTTGTCCAACATGGCCCTTACTGTGGGGCCCACTGAGCTTTTAGTTTTACTACCATCAGTCACTAGCGGCTTGTCCAACATGGCCCTTACTGTGGGGCCCACTGAGCTTTTAGTTTTACTACCATCAGTCACTAGCGGTTCAGTTAAGACTGTCAAGTTGCTTCTTGTCTCAAGGTGTGTGTGTCTATCATGTGCGTTTCATTCGAGGCAGTAAGGCTGGGGTGAGTCAGTACAGTTTACCGGTGGTCTTTAATCAATCACCACTGTTTCTCAAGGCCAGGGCACCCGCTAATGCTCAGATAAGTTTCTGATTATACATAGTAGTTAACCTAGCATTTTCTTACGTCTCTCACGTCTTGAAGCTCACATGCGTGAGTTATGAACCATCATATCTCCCCTCTCTTCCCCCTATACCTTGTTGTGGTGTATTCACTTACCTCTCCATTGCCTGATCAAAGAGACCAAGGAACTGTAGCAAAGAGGTCTGGTACATGATATTAACCATGGACATCTCGACAATCAAGAAGTAGAGGATGGAACCGCGGGTTGCGACTGGCCGGTACTCCTCTCTGGCAGTGGTGATCTTGACCTCCGTCTCTGCAGCCACTGTCAGTTTCTCGCTTACTTCATGAGCAGTTTCCTTCGTGGTGCGCAGCACTTCGATCAGTGACTCATCATCTACCAGTGAGCCCTGCAGCCGGCAAACCACTGTGAGGTTACTACACAATATTGATCAAAGGTGCCTACCTGTGTGCTGGTGAGACGGTAGAGAAGGTTGTCCTCCAGTTCACTCATCTTTCTCTTATTGGAAGTGACTTCTTCCATGAGGTGCACCCTCTCTGCCTCTAGCTCATGCTTCTCTGTGAGGATGACTCGACCAAGTAGCTGGTCCTCTAGACCTCGCATGGTCACTGTGAAGTCAATGATAGAAGTACGGGCTGAGATTTCTGGAGTGTAGCTGGGGTTGGGCAGCTTAGTGGTAATATAGAGGGTGAACCCTGACATCACATCCGCTTCCTTGTCTCCCACTTTTACTTTCAGCGTTTTGCCTGACTTGATGAAGTTTTTCTCCAGAACATTGTCGAGAGCAGGGTCTAGCTCCTCCCCAACATCTTCAATCAGCAGTGGTCGGCCAAGTGACAGACTGTCCTCTAGGTGATTGCGAAAGTACTTGTGATTTAGAGTTGTCAGTTGCAGCTCACACCCTTTCTCCCTGTTTCGGATCCATGCTTTTCCTTGGCCCTGGGGATCAATCAGCAGTGGGTACCTAGTGGCCTTGGTAGTAATGATGCCATTTTGTATGGACAAGTCATCATTAGGAAGTCCCTGTAAGTTCCATTCGCCAATGGTAGTGTTGTCCACTAGCATTGCAGTAATGTTTACATCTCCAGAGAAGGGGATTTTGCATCTCTTCAGTTCTTCTTTCCAGCCAGACATTAGATGCATGCGGAATTCTTGGTTGAATGGGCCGGAGTAGGAGAGAAAGCCTGTGGCCAGCAGCACGTCTCCCACAAGTCGGCTGATTTGTGACTCAAACTCCTTGCTTTGTTGAGTCCAGCGATCCTTCTCTCCTCCAAGGCCACCAATGAGAGCAGATGCTGCGTTCATTTTGCGACGACAACTCTCAGCATCATCCAAAAGAGTTTGTTTTTCCCTCATGGCAGCGTCATATAATGCCTGAACTTGGTCCAGTTCTCGCTGTTTCTCATCAAGCTGGGCCTGTGCTTGGCGAAGGTTGGCCATAGCTGACGCCAGTCGAACTTCCTGAATGGCAAGGTTGGCTTTGAGTGGGAGTACTTCCTTGTTGATCTCATAGAAGAATGACATGGCTTTGGTCCACGAGAGTAAGCCGGCCACGTTTCCACAGACCTTCTTGGCAGTTTCAAGATTGTAGTCTTCCATTTCAAGGTAAGGAGCGAGCAGCTCTACTGTCTCTGCGTTTATTGTGTCTTTGGGGAAGGTTTGCAGTCCCTGGAGAAAGCCTTGTTGGCTCATCATCTGGTACACACCAATAGTTAAAACGAGTTGGAAAAGTGATACCCTACCTTCAGTGACTCTGCCCAAGAGGGTCTTGGGCCAGGCTTCTCTGGGTCTGCTGCAAATTGGTCTAGCCTTCTCTGGAACAGCAGCAGTGCACAGTCCATGATCCTCATAATCAGGTGTGGAGGCTTGCCCAGTTTCCTGACAGTGGAAATGTCTGCAGCCTTGATGGTCTGCAGGGCTGCCTCTGCCTCCTCAAGTGCTGGCCGAGCTGCTTCAAGCTTGCCCATTGCTATCTTCTTGTCAGCCTGTACAAATAAACCTTGATTTATGAGCAATTAGTGCGACAGTGAAAGCTTACCTCAATGTCATCCACCAGAGCCTGAGCTTTGTCTTTTACTTTCTGTACCTCTGCCTTCACCTTTTCAGCTTCCTGTGCCTTTACTGTCACCTCCTGCAGTACCTCGTCAGCTTTGGCTGATGCAACAGCCAGCTCCTTCTCCTTCACCACCAGTTCCTTACTCAGCTCTGCTACACTGGCACTGGCCTCCACCAGCTTGTCTAGTCCTGTGTTCATACGCTTGGCCAGCTCACCAATGTGATCAAGTTTCTCAGTGTAGATAGTCTTATACCCTCCAATGAAAGAGAGGTAGGACTTTGGAGTAACATGTGTTGAGCGCCGGAATCGATCAAAATATTCCACACATGTCTCTGCAACGAAGTCATGAACAACACCCATGGCCCTCACCACCTCCTGCTTGGTGTCATGTGTGCAGACTATATTGAACTCGGACAGAAAACGATGGGCCACTGCGATGAGGGCATCTTTAGGCCACCGGCTGAACCAGTCCATAGTACACCCTGAGATGAGGCCAGGGAATTTTAGTGCTCGATTGCGAAATTTCTCACCAACCTGATGTAACAAACAAGACATATAGAAAAATGGTACAGCAAAGCATGGAAGTGACTTACAGGAGAGAAGCAGAGGACAACATGAAGGTTCTTACGAGCCCTGGAGATGAAGTAGTCATAGAGATTCTCTTGAGTTGGTGGATGCCGTGGAAATTGCTTCTTCATAACAGGAATTAGTTCCCCTGTGATCTCATCCAGCTCATCTCTAGCAAACAGGTTTGACACTTCCCCTGATGACAGAACGTTGTTGAGATATTCCAGGAACCCCTCATCTTTCACTTCATTGTCAGTGAAGATAAACGTAATTCCTTTACCTTCTAGACCTAAACAATAACAAGGGATGTAAAATTTCACACATAAGCAATGAAAATATGCCTTCTATAAACCCTGGGAGTAACAGTCATATATACCTGCAGTCCTATACAGCAACTTTAGATCATCCATCAAGTTGTTAGCATTGTAGGATCTTGTGAGCGTTATTTGAAATGTCTTGTAGCCAGCAATGAAGGAAGCTAGTCGGGTGAGACTTTGCTTGCCTGAGCCACCTACTCCAACAAGCAGAGCGTTTCCCCGTGCCATACTGATAATCCGTGAAATCTTCACCAAATGAACCATGGCATCCTTGAAGAAGACCAGGTCCATGCCTGCCCCACGGATCGTGTCATTGTACTGTTGAATATACCCTGTCAGTTTGTCTGAGAGTACTTCCAAGCTAGGCACCTGTTCACATCCACATAATAGTGGAAAGCTATTCGAATTATGGTGCTACTAACCATCTCATAAACTTTTGGTGCCTCCAAATCAGCATCCTCCGGCTCATCCCCAGTGGGCTCCGGTGCCTCTCTCAAAAAATCTACAAAGTATGGCTCAGGGGATGCCATCACTTCTCCTTTAAGTTCATCACAACGGATTTGCTCCACTGCCCCCAGGAACCACTCCACATCCTAAACGTATGACAAGTTTGTATGTTGTTGTGAACTCAGAGCCTGAACGTACCTGTGAATTTGTGAATCTGTCGGCAATAACCCTACTGCATTCATGCAGCCACAGAGACAGAACTTGACTTGCACTCTGGCACTCTTCAGCAGCAACTAGCAAGATCCCCTCCCATATACGAGAAAGGTCTCGAAGATTGAATATGTAGTGGAATTTTGCAGGTGTCGGCAGCATCTTTATCTAAATGTCCATAATGGTTAGTTAATTAAGAAAGTACATTTTAATGTACTCTACCTTAGTTTTCTGCCACAGCAAGCGAGTTGCAGGTACCAAAAGAGCCACGGTCGAGCAAACCTCTTCAGAAAAGCCCCTCTGTTGGCAGAAATACCCACTGCTTATCACACCAAAAATCTTGTCAATTGAGGCATCGGAGGGCAGGGTACAGTTGAAGATGGTAAACTGCCTCTTGAGTCTGGCAGGGATATCATTGCGGCCTCCTCCTGGATGGATCATGGCTGCCATGAACTGGAGGTCAACTATGTGGGTGAAGTCCCCTGGCTTCTCAAGGCTGTAGAAACCTTGCATCTCCATCAACTGTCGCACTATTTCATTTGTGATCTACAGAACAAGAAGCTGTGACTCCAATTAGGAAGTATCAGAAGTAGCTTACCTGGTCCCCCCACTCATTGATGACAGGCATGTTTATATCGTCCACAAACACACTCATCTTCTTGCCTGCGGGTGGCCCATACGTGCTACCGACCCTCTTGTCTACATAGCTCTCAATTGTACGCTGCATGAGAACACTTGGCAAGTAAAACCACAAGTCATACAAGTATTTTACTGACTTGGAAGAGCATTGGAGTAGATGCAGATGAGAAGTTGAAGGCCTTGAAAAGATGTTTTTCAGGGTTATACTGAGAGGCATATCCCTGAAACATCACAGTTTTTGCTGTGCCTTGCTCTCCAATCAGCAGCACTGCCTTCTCCTGTCGTGCTATGAGGTTCACCAGAAATGTGGTCCTCACATTGTCCACATTTGGAACAAGGATGGAGGCATACTCTGGGACCTGGTCAGGGGGATAGCTGTATTCTTGCACCCGCGAAGACCAGTGTATCCAGTGACCAGTTTTCTCAACAACATACTCGAACATGGTTTCCCCAGGTTTCACTGGAGGTAGGTCTAGTTCCCCCTGCATCAAAGCAAACTTAAATTGACAATACTACAAAATAATCCATGCCTTATTGACCATTTTGACAATGAATTCTTCCAACTTAGCCCTTCCATCTAACTCCAGAAGAGCTCCAACACTCCACATCAGTGCAAATACATAGAGGCGCTCCAGGTGCTCAGTTGTGAATGTAGCAGGATGCTCGTGGTGGCCTTCGTGGTGCTCGTCCACCTCCAATAGTCCTGATAGCAAGTCCATTGCCTGAAGAGAAAATACCATTATAGACAGGCCAACATCTGATAAATCATTCAACACGCTAGAGTGAGAGGTACTTACCTGTTTGATATAGTTGCATTCCAGAACTGTCATCTTTGCCTCCAAGTTGAGTTGCATGTAAGTTAGAATAGGGTCAAATGTACGGTCAAACAAGTCCCATAGTGTGGTTTGCTCGGTGTCGGGCCTTGATGATAGCCATCCCTGAAGAATAGGCCTCCAGTCCAGTGCAGAAGAACTCATATACACCATGCCATTTCGAGACACTGTGGCTGGACTAGCATTGTCTACATTGTCAGGCTCAAAGACTATCTTGCAGTCAGGGGCCATGGTAATGCGGTCTCCATTGGCCAGAGTGAGTGTCTTGTTGTCATCCAAAACACTGTTCAGGTTCTCAATCCATATGGCATCCACGGGCCCATCTAGAACAAGCCACACATGTTCTCCCTTTTTCACCTTGTGTGTACGTCGCCAGAGAGTGGAAAATATACCGTCTGTCCAGTCATTAGTGGAAACATCGAGGCGACCAAACATCTGTGGGGCCGTAATTGCCTTGGGATTCATCCTCATCTCCCTGTGAGGTGTGCCGCACTGTGCCATGGCTCTCATCAGTATGTTGATGCACTGTGTCTTGCCAGCACCACTGGGCCCAAGAACCATCATGCCGTGACGTACTCTCTGTGTCTCAAACAACTGAATGAGCTTCAGGCACCACGATGGATGGTTTACTAGACCAGCCTCCTGTACCTGCTGCTCAATGGCAGCCTCAATGTCAGGGTATCCGGCTTTGTCCAATACAATTCCAGGAAAGAGGTCATTGATAAGGCTCATGAACAGTGGCTCGTCCTCGTCCACCAGTTTTGAAAGGTTCATGTCTCTAAGAACTCTCATCACAATAGTGCTTTCGCTGTCCTGTGGGCTAGCACGCTTCACACTACCCAGTGTACGCAGAACCGACAGAATATTTCGCAAGCCAAAGTCATAGTGAACCTGCAACAAAATTATATCAGATCAAAAGTGGATATACACTGAATAAGACGATGAAGTTCATACCTGTTTGGATAGCTGCTCTTCACAAAGTTTGTAAAGAGTAAAGAATTTGCGGGCCAAAATGATGTTTTCAAGGAAGCCACATGATGCTAATTTGACCCTCATGATTATCTGCCTGTCTGGAACCATCATGGCCACTGTGCGGAACTGAATCTTGAGGTTCTCTGGTAGCTCCTGTCTACCTGCATAGCCAGGATTCTGGAGAGAAACACAGTAAGTCGCATAATATATATGCACAACCATACTTACCATGGTGAGAAATATACCAAACTCAGAATTCATGCTGACCACATCCCCGTCAGAGAAGATAAACTGAGGTTTCCTCTCTTTCTTGCAGTTGAGAACAATGTGTATCTGCTGTGCTGCCACTGACAGTACAGGAAGCTCAATTCTGTTAAATTCATCAAAGCAGCCCCAGCTTCCTGACTGAGCCAGGCCCTTGTATATTCTACCCAGTCCCCTGAAGTCCATCTGGTCCGAGCAGTTGAACACCACGACATACTTGCCCAGAGCCTTACCCATGTCCTTGGTTGTTTCGGTCTTGCCAGTGCCTGCAGGCCCAGCGGGGGCTCCTCCCATGGACATGCCCAGAGCCTGTGCTAGGGTAATGTAGCAGCGATCAGTAAGAGGAGTGATCACTAGGCGATCAGTACAGCCAAGAAATTCGTTTTGGTAGATGAAGTTCACATCTGTAATGGATATGATTGACTGGTCTGAATCTTCATTGAAGTAGAATCGGCTCTGTTTCAGCCACTCAAAGTCAAGGGGACTTTTGACATGCATACGCACCTGCGGTCAAGATGATCATGAATGTGAGTATGAATGTGAAATGTAGTGAGATGATGCTGACCAGATCATTGAAAATGTCCCTTTGATGAACGTGTATGGTGATGAGGGTCTCGTACTTGATGCGCTCAACCTTACTGAGGTCCTGAGTGGTCACTTCAATCAGTGTATTGAGCAGATCCAGGAAGAAGGCGTTTGTCTGAGCCATCACTTTTTTATTGGAGCGAGCATTTTGCAGAGCAGTTTCAGCATCACGAGTCCAGATCATCTGAATACCCAGCAAACCCACCTATATACAAAGATACTCACAATTTAACTAAGTCACTCAAAGACTGTATAATTACCTGGGCAGCAGATGAGTTCAGAAAATTTAACAGATCGAATGATGGATTCTGGATGGTAAAAAAGGCATCCCTGATGACTGCATGTAGTGAGTCCATAGCTCCTTGCAGAAGTTGGCCCAGCCAAATCTCGACATTACCCTGAGCCAACACTGGCTGCTCAAGGGGAATGGTCTCTTTTTCACGGGAGCTGATTGCCAGAATTCGGTCGTATTCCTTCTCATGGAACACCACTGACTTCACATTATCAAAAACACCAAGCAGGTGGGCCTGTAGAAACAACAAGACTATTATAACACCTCATTGATCTCTGACTTACGTGTGAAAGCGTGTTAACTATATCTCGTAGTAACCTACATCACTGTTTACTAAGTGCCCGTGGCGCCATCCCCTGCAACCCGCGAACGTGTAAAAACAAGTGTGCGTCAATTTGAATGGGTACTAAATTTCACAGACTTGCTGTCTAACCTGTATAGTGTGTGAGTCAGATGCCTGTCCAAGTATCTCCAATAAGGCAGGGTCTGATACAAAGAAGAAGCGGGGAAATATGAGTCTTTTCTTTTCCAAGTACCCCGTGAGAGATTTTTGGCAGAGCTCAAGTTGCTCCAGTAGATGAGGTAACAACTGCCCTAAAGTTTCATCTCCCACACAGCACTGCACGACATTGGGCGTCTCATGAGCCTTGGTCATGATTTTCACCCATGACTTATCAATGTTCTGGAACCTCTTTGCCTCCTGAACAATCGAAATTTATATACATGCGAATAATTCTTGCAAATACCTTTGGTAGCTGCTTAGCAATGTCTCCTCCAACAAACACAGCCTCCAGATACACCCACAAGTTTTGCACTACCAACCAGTTTTCAATGATATCTGATGTATTGGATAGCTTCTGCACCCACGAAGCAATCTCTTTCTTGAATGGAGCATTGTACCTGCATGAGTTCGTTGGGTAATGATCATCCATATACTTTGTAGAGCATAAGCACCTGTTAGACATGAGAGAGCCCAGTAGCATGAGTGAGTCCTCCATCAGAGACACTACCTCAGCAGTCTCTACACCCTTCAGTAGCAGCTCACCCCTATTCTTGAAAGTAGCAAATGAAAGGTTCTGAACACTCCAGTCAGCAATGACCTACGTAGGTATATAACTTTATTATTGAGTATGTATACACTTTGATTATGGATAAGACCTGCTTCAGCTTAGCCTCAATGTCTTTCTCCTTGCCTGCTGCAATACAGATATCTTCAATGTCATCTTTGTAGTCCAGCAGGGGGGCCTCCATGATGTTTCTGAGCTGGAAATTCTCAGAACTGATGTCAAAACTGTGTCCAGTGAGAGCTGTAATGCGTTCCCAGTGTCGCTCTTTCATGGCTGGGTTAGCCATGAGCTCAAGCAGTGGACAGGTTTCGTTGAAGTCATCGATCTTTCGCTTCAAGTCGTGAAACGCTTGCCACTCTTTCATTCCTTTGGGAAGCTTACGACACCTACACATCAGACCAACAGACAACAAGTTATGATAGCAAAGAGCTAACAAATTACCTGTTTTGGAATTCAATGAGCTCCATGTTGATTTTTTCAATATCAACATCTGTCCACAGCACCTCATAGTACCCACTGATGGTATCGTTAACTGTGTTATACAGCCCATAGAGCTTCTGAAGTAGTCCGATCTCCCTCCTTGTGTTCTGAAGCTCTGGGTACTCGGTCACTGTGAGGCCAAACAAGGCTTCACCTCCAGAATATGTCTGGTACTTGGACCACAACTCATCAAACTGGGCTTTGGAACACAACCAGTCTCTCACTGGCTTCTTGAGGGTGCAGCCCTTCCACCATTGGTCCTGACTAGAGACGGAACTAAGTCAATGCAGCAACATGAACACACAGTGAACTTACTTCTGAATAGTTGTTGGTGAAATTAGCCAGGTCACGTTGGAACACCTCCACACTCACCAAAAGATTAGTCTTGAATTGAGGTTGAATTCCAATCAAGTGACTTTGTACCTGACCCTGAACAAAATGCTAGTCATCTAAGGGAAGGATAGACTGCTTTACATACGGCCTTTGTGAGCAGGTTTTTGAAAGTGTATCGTAGTGAGTCCACCGTTTCCATTTCTTCACGGGCCACAGCTACACCACATCGTTGCAGAAAAGAGTAACATTCCTCAATAGGGTTAAGCTCCATGTCAATTTCAATCTCCTTGGCTCTCACTTCATCTAATGCAGCCATTGTGCTGCGAACATCTTCCAGATCCTTAATAAAATCAGATCATTCATTTTTGCATACTGATGTCAACCTGCTATGTACCTCAATTGGTCTGGAAAGTCTCTTGCTGTATTCTGATAGAAATTGTACAATGTTGTTCATGCTGGTTCTGTAGTGAGAGTTGAGGCTATGGCCGTATGCAGTCTTCCAGGCTCGTGCCTCCACCACAAGGGCCAACTTCAGAGGTTCTTTATGGCAGAAAGGGATACGTAAATAACACAGAATGCTACCCACAGTAACATTCATACCACTGGATAACTGTATTGCAGCTGTCAGTGACTGCTGGGTCGGCAGCTGAGCAATTTCAATCTCCAATCTCTCATAGTGCTCCATTTCTGACTCAAACTCAGAGAGATGTGGTCGATTGCTTTCGAATGCAGCCAGCACCTGTTCCCTTTCTAACGTATAAAGTTCCTTGTAGCTCTCAAACACACGAAGGGCCTATAAAATATGTGAAAGCATAAGTTAAAAAATATAGACGTTTTAACCTTTGTAAGGTCCTCTCTGCAGGAAAGTAGTGCAGACGATAGTAGGCTTGAGAGCTTCAACAGGTCTTTGCTATCATGGATAGCTCGTTGATAGTTGCTAGTTGCCCCTACTGAAGGTAGATTAGTTCTGATGCATAATGCGAAGCTGGCCAGCAAACCTGGTGATTGTTGCTGTGTCAGTGGAGTCCAGCAAGGAATGCTCTGGCCAATGTCGCTCACAAGCTGTACCACCTGATTCACAGCTGCTTGTAGCTCTTCAAGACTTGGTACAAGGAGCTAAAATGCAGGAATATAAGAATTTACAAAGTTGTCGGTAACAGCCTTTTATACTAGAGCAGCATAATACTGACAATGTTTGGAAGAGACAGCACAACCTCTGCTGAGAAGCAGGGTGCTGGGCGGCCACCATTCTCGTACAGATTCCTGGCCGAGGAACTGGTGGCAAGTCTCCTCCGTAGCAGATCCAGGGAGGACGACACCGCACACACCAAAGCTTCCAGGTTGCGATGTTGGAAGATGGAGAATAGGTCCTCACATTCACTTTCAAACTGCTCTAACTCCTCTGTGAACCAGAAATTGCTCACATATAGTTGAGATGGTTAGGTGCTGCTAACAAACCGGATTTGCTTTTGACCATGCCTTCACTGTCACTAGGCAAAATTATGGGCAGCATTGCTGTGTGCCTTAACCGTCCAATCAAGTCTTTCACTGCTTCCTCCACTTTCCCACTGCACACACTCAGCACCTCCAGTCCTGCTCTACACTTGGCCTGAACAACAGAGAAACAAACATATAACGATCAGATGCAACTACCAACTAGTTAACCTTAGATTGTAAAAGGAAAGATCCGGCAGTCCACGTTTCCAGAGGTGGCAGGTAAAGCAGTAATGTTTCCGCCATAGTTTTGAGAAAAGCAACAATGCGGCACTCATAAATATCCTGTACCTGAATGAGAATGCATTAATGCATGAGCAAAATCATACATATTGACTTGGTTCAGACCTCCTTGTTGATAGACTGAAACTCAGCAAGGGCAAAGGAAATGTTATGAAAAAATCCATGTATGTTGAGAGACGACCATGTCACGGTATGTAGACCATCCGCAAGGGTAATGTCCACCTGTATTCAATGGTCCATGTGTGTGCATGTGTCACATTTTTACATGTATTATATGTATATACCTTCCGTATGTGATACTTCATTATGGACATTAGAATGGGAGGTACACTCTGCCATATCTGAGCTTCCTTGTCTAGGAGGAACTGTAAAACGAATTCACTGCCAAAAGTCCAACTCGTCAATACACTCTATACCTTGAGTTGATTGTAGTGTTTCTTGATGGAGACCAAGGTAGGGGAGTTTGCCTCAGGAGGAACTTTCATTCCAAGGTGAGCCATCCACTTAGCTTCCTCCATCATGGACACCACAGAAGAGTGGAGATTAGGTTCCATGACACCATCATCACGTCGGATCAGTACTGGGACCTAAAAATAATTATACTAAAGGAGACATATGCATATTTGCTAGCAGCTCACATCCAGGGAATTCTCCGTCTGCTTCACTAGTTTGAGCCACATTTTGTAATGCACTACTTCATATTCTGTCAGAGTGAGGGCAAGCTGGTTGTACTTGTGAACAAGAGCAGAGCCTGGACCACTCTTAAGCAGTTTTAGTTTGGCTTGGAAATGTTTCATTGGCTGTTCCAGGTGGAAACTGAGCTGGCGAGCCCAGCACATTCTGCCAGCGATGCGTGGCATGTTCCTTGTCAGCGGAGGATTTGCCTTCTCACTCTCGTACAGCTATAGACGTAGCGTCAGGCCATGTGAAAAACAACAGAGTTAGAGGACACTTACCTTACGAACCCTCTCCATTTCTTCAGAGAAAACACTCATAATATCGAAGTATTTTCGGTTAATAGTCTCACTTAAACACACCAAATTCAGTCGCTCAAATCTGTGTGTACAAGAACTAGCATAAAACAAGAATGGAGGAGAGGTATTGCCAACCTTGAGAGTAGTTCAAGGCTCTGGATACAGGATTCCACATGGGAGAACCTAGCATTCATGAACATCACCAACTGGTCTCCTAATTCCCCTACCCCCAGCTGAAAATCTTCAAAATCACTGGCAAACTCCATCTTCCTATGATCCAGGGGATCATATGGTTTCTTCTTCAATGTGGAAACGAGCTGCTGAAAGCGTGTAGCCACAATATCGATGCCTTCAATGTGGCTGTCCTTTAGCACAGAAAACCCCTGAACTGTCTCTACAACACTCTGTACTTGCTTCAGACGACGGCAAAAAGAAGAAAATTTGCCAAATACGTACATTTCAGAGATTTCAAATGGACGCCTTTCACTGGAGAACCTCTGCTTAGACAGCTGAAAACTATGGTGGTAGCAATCATAGAGGTTTTGGCAGTCATCAATCCTCTTCAGGAGGGCACCTGGAGTAACATCCCACACACTCATCTCTCCTTCGGAAGTGATGTACTGCTTGCAAGCTGACACCATTTGGTTGGTAACCTTTAATCAAACATATATACTGTAAAATCAGGTTGCTCACATAACAGTTGCTTTACCTTGACAAATAGAGAAGTCATCCTCTCTGAGGTATGGTAGTAGCGTGACACTGCATGCACCATGACGATTGTATTGATGAGGGAAGGCAGGGAGTCGAGCAAAGCTATGGGGCTGCTGCCATACAATGGCCTGCAAAGCTGCTCAATGGAATAAAGAAACTTCAGGTTGTCACGAGCCTCATTAGACGCATCTGTAATACGGCAGTCAAGTTCACGCCATTGCTGTATGTAAAAGAGAAACCACGTATATCCATTTATGAATATAAAAATATTTTTAACCTTAATGATCTTTGCTTTGGCTACATTCAGTGTGCTGATAACTCCACGACAAGGCTGCGTTTTAATCTGCTCCACTAAACAAGAAAATATAGCAGCTCTGTGTTTCCAGTATTCCAGTTCAGCGAATGGACCGGTATCATCTGCCTCTTTTCGCATTTGGCTCCCTTCCGCAAGAACCTACCATGAAATGACATGGTAAACACCTGCAAACAGTAAATGCTAACACACCTGCTCAATTTGCTGGCACCACTTTGCTACCAAATCTTCCAGAGCTGCTACAGTATCTGGTTGCCTTGCATGAGTGATGCAGCCTTCAGAGGTTTTTAGCCTCTCCAGTTTCAATGGTGTCTGCAGACTCAAATACACAGCTTCGTTGATGCTCTTTTGGGTACCTGTTACATGGCTAATAATTATTCTATACGACACATAATCATCACTGACTCTTCAGGAACTCCACGAAATTGTCAAGTGAGCATAGAAACTGATTGACTCTCTGTTTGGGTACTGATCCCCACGGTTGTGACTGCCTAAGGGCTGGTATGAGTACGAGACTCAAGTGTTGCCAAAGTGCTTGCAGAAAGCTGGTGCCGTCACTTGTGTCAATCACTCCACTCACTACCTCCTGCAAGAGGAAGTCTAAGCACTAGACAGGGAGTAGCTACCATGGCTAACCTCTGCAATATTTGAGGTGGAAATAGGCCTGGTGTTGTTGGGTCTCACAAAATACACACACATCCCAGTGAGAGGGAACTCTGTGCCATCTGTTACAACTACCCTCTTCTCTAATGACTTGGATTGGTTTGGAGCAAGTCCTATTTGCTGTAGCTCCGCTGAAAAGTAAAAGTACATGGCACAATCACCACACCTGGATATGAAACAAAATCTGCTATGCATCAATGTTGCATCTGAAGTGCATTCAATGCCTAGCATGGCAGGTCCACCGGTACCCCCACACATGTTAGCAGAAAGATTCGCAGGCCATGAAACTTGTTTTTGTTTTGTCAACAGCAAAAGAACTGTGCCCATGGAGTCACGTACTAAGCACCACCGCTCGACACCGGGCGCATGCACAGCACGCCTAGGCTGTGATGGGCATGAGCGGCAGAGCCTCGCTCAACGGGTGCAACACAGCAGTTACTGCAGCAGAATCACAGTCCAGATGAGGTACGACATGATCACATGAAAATTGAGCGCCAGCTTGGAATGCGATCAAAACGCTGATTCTACATTGCATTCACTCAGCCTTGCACTTGAAAATAGCACTGTTCACCAGTTAGGCTGATGCAGCCATATTTCAGTGCTGCAGAAAAGGTAGATCTTTGCGTCAGCTACACTTTCCGTGCTTTCGTGGATATCAGCGGAAGGTGAGCAAAAGAAACCTTTACCCTCGAGTTCTGTCTCTCAGCAGTGGGCCTTCTCGGGGCATCAAAGCTCATTTTTGTGTTTACATATGTTGGGAGGGGCGAAAAATTCTGATTTTAAAACGCGAACCAATACACTTGCTAACTATCTGGGCTGAAAGAGTTCTGCCGTATGTCACCTAATGTCATGTTCCTTTTTTTTCGAAAGAGTAGGCCTACGACAGCTATTGAATATTCTCCTTACGTATGTTGGGAGGGGCGGAAAAAAAATTCTGATTTTTATAAAGTGAACCAATACACCTGCAAACTATATGAGCTGAAAGTGCTCTGCCTTATGTTGCATGTTCATTAACCCTCGGCGGCGCGCATGCGCAGCGAGGGTTACAGTACTTGGTCTGTCTGTCCATCTGTCCGTCTGTTACCACGATTTCTGCCACCACGCGCAACAAACAGGTAAAATAGCGACACCAGCGGGTTCAGAGCTACACTGGCTTTATTTTAAAATAGGCGATTTTCGTAAAAGTGCCGCGTTCAGAAGTTAAGGCGTGAAAACCAAGTGAACAAGCCAATATGCAAATTAGCACGGGCTTACCTCGACAAGATGTGCTTGCTCTGCGTACCTTGGAGGCACAAGACATCACAACTGTAGCTAGCCCGTGTCAGACTCTCCGCGAGCTACTAGCGGGAGTAAACGTATACTAGTATAATAGGCCCAGCCCATCAATTAGCGGTACCGCGCATGCGCAGTTCGCCGAGGGTTTGCACTTTAGTGCTTTTCATTTGAAATAGTAGTCCTACCGCAGCTATTAAATATTGCCCTTACATATGTTGGGAGGGGCGAAAAAAACTTCTGATTTTTTAAAAGTGAACCAATACACCTGCAACTGTATGAGCTGAAAGAGCTCTGCCTTATGTCACCTGATGTCATTTTCCTTTTAATTTTTTTCGAAATAGTAGGCCTACTGCTCTGGTGTACCATTGACGCGAAGCAGCCAAGTCAGGAATTATTGGTCATGAGGTCCGCATCTCGTACCTCCTCTGAGCGAGAACACCCCAATACACACTTTGGTGGACGTGTGGCAAGACAGACACAAGCCTGATGATGGTGGACGAACAGTTGAATTGGAGAAGGTAGGTGCGCTACACATGTGCCTGCCAAAGCGCAGTATGCGTGCCCAAATAAAGCAACCGTGTCAAGGACGAGAGCCGACTCTGCATATCACATGCGTCAGAGCCCCATGGGTCTCTTGCGCAAGCATGGTACATCACCCTTCTTCACTTATACTTCTGGGTGAGGGCTTCTCTACGTATTATGTATTACGTGTGTTCTTACTAGTGACTGGGATGGCTGCTTCTTGGTAATATAGCAGAATGCAGCGCAGGCCATGAGCAGCAAAGAAATCATCAAATCTGTCTAACTGAATTACAACATTGCGAAATAATTACATTTCCAGCATAAGAATAATTTTGAATCACCTGATTCCCATCCAATAAGTAGTCCTCAACTTCAGTCCCAGCCAACCCTACTTGAAGCGCTACTAAACCTGTGATGAATTTATGCCTCCCATCCAGTCGCAAACGCTGCTGCTCGCGGAGTGCCTTCATGCGAGCCTACAGGAAAAAAGCAAAACGCTAAAAGAAAATAAGGACATTTCTAGCTCACCTGTTTCACCTTCAACGTTTCCGCAACGTTAGCGAGCATAATGCTTCGGCGGTGCCCTTTTCGATGGTGGCGTTGGGCTGCAGCGAACTCATTTGCAGAGTCCTGACCGCCCAGGGACTGTCGCGACCCATCGCGAGAAGCCATCGCTCGCATAAAGTGTCACTTCTTCCCCTGCAGCTGCTGCAGCAGCTGCAAAACTGAAGCAGAGAGTGCGCGCGCGCGCCCAAATTATGCGCATGCGCGTAGCAGAGCGAAAGCCCGCGCGCGCGCGCGCGCGCGCACGCAAAACGCGCCCCGCGCCGGCCCACACACACACGTACGTACGTACCAGTACCATGGATCGGATACCATATATATATGGACGCACATTCAGAGCCACACCCACGTGGGCGTGGCTCGGGATTGAAATGCTGCCATCTAGCTCGCCGGATGGAGGGTCGAATGGGGTAACTTCTGCGCTCAGTTCTCTTTGGAACGCCTCGTCAGATAAAGATGATACATGTAGAACGTGGGGGCTGGTGAGTCTAGGCGCGGCCGCACACCCATGAAGTTGCTAGGTTGTTGTTTTTGCTTCTTGCAGAGCAAGAAAGAGAGGATAATTGGGTTTTTCACGTGTCTTGCTCTAGGCCTAATATGCTTTGGTCTGGTATGTGGGAATTTTGTCTTTCAGTTGTCCATGTATATAGCTACTGTAAATGCAGGCACTGGCTTTGACTCCAGTGATAGTTCTAAAATCAAGAAAGTTTGCTGCATTGTTCACAATGGGCAGTCTCTTCAGTATGAGCAGGTATGTTAATTTCGGGTGTATGCCTGAAATCAACGTGTGCTCCTTTAGTTTTTCATTCTTGTGGGGCCCCATGGCACACTTGAGCCATCTCTTATCCTGTGAACGCCTTCCATTCACACTTGGGTACTTGGCTACTGCTGTTGGTACGCTCTACTGTGCTCTGAGTGTAAGCCTTTTATAATGATATTTTGGTATCATTCGTATGCTATCCTACAGTTGCACAGTACCATCCTCACAATCATTCTGGCAGGAGCACAAATTCTAGCTTTTCTTTGGTTCCTAGTCAGCTACATACCAGGAGGTACTAGTGGACTCAAACTGATGGTAAAGTTGTTTTCCCGACTGTTTTCTTCTACTATTTCAACTGCAATTGACGCATAATAACTTTGTGAAGTCGGAGTAGACTACGCATGCGCCCACAGAAATGTGCGCGAGATGGGTGCGTACTGGGTCGGAGGCGTTGGAAACGAAGTTTTTGTCGGAGCTGGAGCGTTGTCAGTCGTGGTAGTCTTTTTTACTTACTTCCTGATAAAGACAATTGCAATTCGACGCAGGTTCGTGTGGGCCGCCGTAAAAACCTCACAGATTTTCTAGTTCCGCAGGATTTACACGGAACGGGGAGACGGCGGTTTGGTTTCAGCGAGAATGGCTCTGCCTGCAAGAGATTTAGGCCATAGAGGAGTCGTTGGTGACAGCGCTGAGCCCGATAACTGCCCGGTATGTTTGTCTTATCCATCCTTCGCCGTGGATACCAATTGTGGCCACACCTTCTGCTCCCGGTGTATTCTGAGCTACTGGGAACACGATCAGTGGCCGAGACCTGCACGCTGCCCTGTGTGTAGGAGTCAGGTCACACACGCTTATACCCCCAGCAGCACAACCGAATACGAATTTTCACTGTCGTAGGTGTCCCTGTTGCTCCCGTGTGCCGCACTCTCCAGCTCCACCAACCCTGAGCTCTGGCAGATGGTTCTCGCCTATAACCAACGCATGTCCGGCCAGTCAAGATCTGTTAGTCCCACTCATTATTATAATGGCTAGCCAGCCTTTCTCTGGTTCTACAGCTGGTGCAATATCTCTACGACATTCCACTGATTCTGGGTCATGTCTGGAGACTTCTGTTTACTGCAGAAGGAATCGCTCTCCTCTGTCGACTCCACATACTGCTCCTCCTGTTGCTCTCAGTGCTATATCTGCTCTCCCCACTGGACCTCATCCCTGAGGCTGTGTTTGGGGCACTAGGATTACTAGACGATCTCATCATTCTTGTAGCTGTTGCTACTTATGCCTCACAACTCTACCGCAATTACATCACAAATGGGTGACATTAGTATCATGATGAAGTGATTCAGATGTGCAAGCCACCTCCAAGTATTAGTGTCTCTCCCTTTATATCAGCTGCAGAATAAAATGCAGTGATGTATAATAACACGCCACAAAGAGGGCTTTAAATCGAGTTAATACAATCACTTTCAGGGCTCAGGTCAACATGTGAATAGACTTTAGTCAACATAGATTGTGATAATCACCTTCCCTTGTAACGGTAAAGTTGGTTCCCACCAGACACTCCCTCAGGGTTGCTCGATGTTCAATATGAGCATGACTGCATACCACACATCCTTGGAGTACCACACTGTGTTATATACCCAGACACACTCCTGTCACATGTCAGGCCCTACGTATTAACAGGACGCTCACCCTTCTCCAATGGTTACATGGTCCATGAGAACACTGTTTGTCACTTTGGATTTGTCTCCTATAATGCAGTGGTTTCCTACAGCACTGTGCTTCACACTCACACGCTCCCCCAGCTGAACCCCTTCTCCAAGACAGCAATCACCACTCACTCCCTAAGAAAGCACAGTGTCTTAGCATAAGAGCAATTTCAGATTACATATCCCTTGCCCTACTCCGCCGTGGTCCTGGCAACGGTAGATTTTGTTGAACAATTTCAGTGGAAGTGAGAGACAACTGGTTAAGTAAAATTGTAAATCGATTCTACAGCTACAAATCTACTTTACCACTCTGTTGGCCTCCATGAAGCTGGGTATAGAATTAACTCTCAGGCATAGCTGGTCAGACACCTCCAGTGCATAGCACAGCAGGAAGGGTGAGTGCAAACCAGCACCCTGATAGCCAGCAAAAGATGAGAGGGCAAGGGCCAGCTGTTCTGTCTCATCCACACATGAAGTGGCATGGGTCTGCAGAGCTGTCCATGTACGTTCAGATCACCAGCAGCAGTCACACAATTGTATAGCCAGACCTTGCCTGTGAGCAGACTCTGTTTTGCCACTCCCGGCAGCTTGTGTCCACTGACGCCGTACCAGATGAGGAATTAGCTCTCCTTTTACAGAGGAAATAGTCCTGGACGCCCAAACAGCCTCTAAAATTCAATTACATAGCGCAGGCCAACCTGTTCTCTGCTAGGTAGTCCAGAACCCATCTCCGCATGAGGTAAAGATGAGTGTCTGTAAGTCTCGAACTGACTCGCATGTGGGGATGCCTATATAGAGGCAGAGCACACAAACTCCCCCGGTTCTTCAGAAGATACTACAAAATTTCACCTCTTCAGTAAAAATCTAGAGAATGTAAGGGAGTCATCAAGGTCTGCCTGAGCAGCAAAGTAGACGAGCTGATGCTCTGGTGTTAGAGCCACCACATCGTGCTCTGTAAAGAATAACCATCTGTTTCCACCATGCAATGGTAGATGGTGGAGCTCACCCACTGCAGAAGTTTGCTTCCGATGGGACCCCTCCTCCTGTAAGGAAGACGAGTTGGCAAACAGACAGGTTAGGGTTGACTGGTGGCAAGAGTGGAACTCCATCAGAAGATGCACTTGCACAGATGTGATGAGGTCACAGCTCACAACCAAGACATCACTGTGTTGCAACTAAAGAACAACACATTGGTAGTAAAACGGTGACAACAATTACCTTCAGTTTTCCCCTGATGTGTCGCAGAGAGTCTGCTGTCCCCCAGTCCTCACTATCAGGAATACATACCAGTGAGAACTGGAGTGTCACGCCCCCAAACTGATTTAGAACTTCCAGCACGCTACTTGACTCCTTTTCTCTTACCACAACTACAGCCTCTGCAAAAGAAGAATTTTCCTTTTTCTTGAAGGAAGCTAGCTGCTAACCTTGAAATCCGCTCCTCTCCAGCAGTTGCACAGAGTACCATATCAACGGTTGGTTAGCAACTGGAAGCAAACACTTTGGGCTCTCCTCTGAGAGGGGATACATCCTGGAGCCGCGGCCAGCGGCCAATATCACTGCAAGACAATTCTGCATCGTCACCTCGCACCTCGCACCTCGCACCTCGCCGGTCCGTACGCGCACTTTGACCCTCGCTTTGACCCACTGCTGTGGGTGGAGCTCTGGGCCGCTAATGTTGGACAGCGTGTTACAGTATAACGTCGTAAAGCTGCTGCAGCGGAGGCAGGCGAGTTATTACCATTATAATATTATCGTGTTACTCAGCTGCGTTGCTTTTTACTGCAGATATTTCAATATTCCTCCGCATGTGCCATCCGGCGCAGAATCACTGCGACGCTGCCAGTTCAGAAGATTCAGCTGGTCGACATTGGGAACCAGCGACTTTTGCTTGATGGGTGAGCCGCCAAAATGTATGTTAGATGACCAAATGCAGAGTGTCTGTTTCTGACAGCCACGTACTGCTGGGCTTCAGCAGGTGCGGAAGACTTCTGCTGAGCTACTGCAATGAGCTTGATGTTACTGCCACACAGTCCACTTACACCATCTACTGCTGGTTGTTTCAAGGCCGATCTCCTCTTAAATATGTGGGTTCTTACCTAGCACTAGATGCATAGTCTGCACTTGTAAATCTGTGCAGGTTTGTCAAGAGCCTTTGTTCAGAGGTGAAACTGTGCCAGCAGACTTGCATTTGTTGGTATGCCAGACTCCTCCCCCAACCCATACAATTGTAGTGGGATGCAGGTATATATTGTTGCAGCAGCTATGTTTTGTGTGCTATCTGTTAACTTTCAGTCGCCCCAGCAGGAGAACTAGTGCAGAGGACTTTTGCCGGCCATGTTACATCAGCATTCTACCTTCTTTCCCTCCTTCTACCCTCTCCACTCCATATTCGCTCCACTTGAAGTTTGACTTGATGCCTCCTTTTCCTTCCTTCATTCCTTCACTGAGCCTGCGAGTAGAAAGTAAGCTGCATAGTAACACTGTTTTGAATTCTTTGGCAGATTGTGTAGTTATCAACAGTGGTGATAGTGTGGTGGCATTGCATTACCTGCTGCCAAGTGAACCATCAGACAGCAGGAGGTTGTGTGCCACACGGCTACGGCTACAGCTAGCATCTTCATCAGGTCCCTTATAAGCCCAGCAGTCTTCACACACAGTTAACCACCCGGCTTGTTGATGATGACCTTCCAGGGATGAAGACCTATCCAGCACATGCAATACCTGTTGATGTCTACTGTGAAGGAAGGAAAGTGTTGGACGTACAGCATATTTGTGTGCAGGTGTCTTTAGATATGGAGCTCTGGATCAATGATGAATTGCAGACCAAACTATTGGAACAGGGGGTTACTTACCACTCTCTTACAGACTACGACGTACAACTGGCTGAGGTGCGTGTGTGTCCAATTTGCTTCATGTCACCAGTTTGCATAGCTGGGTGCAGGTGTGCCCTGAGAGTGGCTGTGCAATACTGATTCTAGTTGCACTGCTGGAGGCAGCACCACAGTTAGTAAAATACATGGAGAACGTGAATGTTGTTCCATGCTCACATACAGCAGCACGCATTGTTCTGGCTCCTACTCTGTAGAAATGGTAGCGTCCTGGAGCCTATATAAAGGTGGTTTGAAAAAAATGTGCTGCTGGGTTAGTCCTTATTCTCCACTCTCTGGCAGGAACTATTGAATGGTTTCAGATGTCCAGATTGAAACCAGCTGTACCTTCATCTCTCACGTGAGTTAGTTGACTAACGGCCTACATACAGTTTCCTTTGTGTACAGGACAGGAGCAAGAAAGTGGAGCCCTGCTGCACCTATTGCCATAAGTTACCACCAACGGTACTCTTGTCTTCGCTCCTCTGATACAAGTGTGAGGGCATTCTCCAACCACACCGTGTTTTCAGGTATTATTGTACACAATATGGCTGCTAATAATAATTCATGGTGAAGTTGCTGTCAACCGTAGGAAAATCTCTACGGTGCCTCCGCCACACTTTCCTTCCAGTATCTCTAACACTGCTGCCTTTAACACACTCTTCATCAGTACTAGCACAAAATTGAGCAGCTCTCATCAATAACAACACTGCAGTAATAATGTGTCTGAGTATTATATGACAACTGCTAAACATCAGCATTGATTTTCATCAGATGTAGTAGTGTGATGTTCGTCTGGAGTTGCCATTGCCAGAATTTCATCTAATGCATGATCCATCAGCTCTGGCCCACCATCACTATTATTTGTGTATGAAGTCCAGATATATATACTGGCAATAGATGAGCTTACCCAAGTAGGGAGGAGTTGATGAGGCCAGCCAAGTGCTGTTGGAGAGACTCGTCTTCCAGCAATATGTCCAGCAGTTGCCGCGGAGCCAAAGAGGGGTCAGGGGGGGTCACCTGCATCTCACTGAAGATGGAAATAATAGCCCTGAAACACTATATTGGGTTATATAGTAGTCACAACCTTGGAGCTGGAGGGTGAATTTCAACAGGCTTCCTTTGAAGAAACTTAGACAGAGAATGATAACAAACAGACTAACTTCCTTTTCCTTGGGCTGGAGATAGGGGTTGCAACCGGCTGTGTTGGTACTGTGCTGCTACTGGCTTGGCTGGGGGGGTTGCTGGCAGCTCCCGAAGGAGATTCAGGCTCTGGGGGTGCAGTGAACTTCTGCAGTTGTGGGGCTCTTGTGCGACATGGTCTCTTTCTGCCCACATTATCTATCAGGATCCCCCAGTGATTCAACATTATGGCATTAAAATGTAATACCTACATTTATGTGAGCCAAGCAGAGTGTCTGCTAACATCCTGCAAACAGCATTGTAGCACATCACGTACTAACTACGTACTCTTCACCTCAGTTGGCTCAAGTAGTGCTCAAGTTTCTCCCACAATGCCTTCCAGGAAGCTTTTGGGCCAAGTTTTTCTAGCATCAAAGCTTACAGAACACATATATACACACACGCATACAGTTAAAATGCTAAGCTCCTCACTGGACTGCTTGCGAGCATTATATTCAGCCACAATAACACTGAGGGGCGTTTCAGGGAGCACCTTACAAACGACAGAGAGAGACAGATGTGGAGCATCATTTCATATTTGGCAGAGAATCCCTCCCTGATTAACTGTACTTATCCTAAAGCCAATACACAATAGATCCTCGCTGCAAGACAGAGACAGGACAAAATACAATACTTACCATCATGGTTGTATTAGGAGGAAGAAGGTTACACTCTTGCAAAATTTGCTCATTGTGTTCTTATAGCCTTGACGGGCAAGATAAGCTAATAAAAAGAAAGTTGTCATACTAAAGTCTATGTTCCAGATATACCAATGTACCAAGGACATAGTTGGCCACATCTTTCTCCAGTTGAGACTGTGTCATGATTTTCTGGCTCAGTCGCGCAGCGCCGAATTGGAGTGACGTCATTTTCGTGGTAGCTGTTATCTCGCGCGCGTGCGCGAGCAGCGAAGCTAGCTAGCTAGCTTGTGTCTCAGTACGTACGGCGCTACCTGAAAACGCGCAGACCTCACGTTACGAAAATTTGTCTGTATAATACGTGCACGATCACACATAAATAAAAAATCCTGCGAATTAGCATATAGGATGGTATAAAATAAGGAGTACAAGATAGGGATTGGATACATGAAGCATGGTTAATGAACAGATTTGAGTACGTATCCTGTTCAGGGAGTGCCTCGCCGCCCAGTTGCACGGGGAGTAGGTGCAGCAACAGGTAACCTTATTGCATTTAGACATACCCCTGTAGAGTAAGGTATAATTATGGTGTGTTCTTTTTCACGCAGGCACAAGAGGTAAATTCATCCTATTAACAAATGCATTTTTAAGCACTTCTATTCCTATTGAAGCGAGATCAAGGTCCCCTGTTGGTAAATAGTGTTTTTAGCTACAAAAACGTCTTACGACTTTAGCTACCATTCATTTAGTAATACGTGCACGATCATAATAATTATTCCTTTCACGTGATTATGCGCATGCGCGAACAGTGTACAGTAGTGGTTTGTTTCTCGTGATTGTCGCCATGACCGTCGTCTAACGCATGGTAGAAAATTTGGAGGATGTGTGTCGAATCAGAGTTAGAGAGACAACTCTGGTGCACATACTACTGTGACTCTTTGACTACCTACCATGGACCCACACTTCTGCAGTCATGTGTTTATGCTCCGACATGTTTTTAACTTGTCTGTATACATGTCATGCCCGGGCGGGCCTTTCAAACATGAACTTTGAACCACTTTGAACCACGTACAGGCGTCCCTTATTATACGGGCTAGCCTTGTTCCCATCGCTTCCGCGGAGAGATTGAGAGTCACAGTACTACGTGCTAATAAACCTGAAACGCGCAGCAGAGGTATATACGTGGTGGTGGTCCCTCTTTCACAAGGCTGAACGAAGCCCGTATTACAAGAGGCAATGACATCCCCCCCCTGTAGTGAAGGTGAGATAGTTTTATTTACTTCCTTCGTTTCACGAGAGATCTTTCTTCAGATGGAGTTTGCAGTGCGAATGACGTGTTCCACTTGTGAGGAAGATGTCGGAAAAGCCCTACGTGGAGTGGGAGGTCGGTAAACTGTCAGTCACCCCAGTAGCTACAGTACTATGCTCTCCGCAGGGGTACGGAGTGTGTATACTGATGCTGAGAATGATCTCGTGTTAGTGGAAACCAATCTTCCTGCAGCCCATGTTCAAGATTTGCTTGAAGCTACAGGGAAGCTCGTCCTGTTTCGTGGCTTTGGAAGCGCTGTTGATAGTGTGACTTCTTCAGCAGCTGTGGCTATCTTCAGAAAAAATGAAGTGAAAGGGTTGGCTCGATTTCTACAGGTCGATGATGAAAGTTTTGTTGTAGATGGCACAATAGATGGGTTACAACCAGGAAAGTACAATGTAAGAGTGCGGCAGTTTGGAGACCTATCACGGGGGTTTTTGAGGTAAAAAATTATAGTAATTGAAATCCGTATAATTGTTTGGTGTAGTTGTGGAGATGTGTTTAGCACCAGTGGAGCAGGGCCTGCAGAGGGGGAGTTAGGACTTGTACATGTGGACAATACTGGGAGGGCTCAATTTCTCTATAAATCTGAGAAAATGAAAGTTAACGACCTCATTGGCCGCTCACTTTCTATTGACAAAGGGTAAGTGTAATACCCTACGAATGCTGAGCTACTGACTGAGTTCATATCATAGGGAAGTTTTTGCTTGTGCTATAATTGCAAGATCATCTGGAATTTTCCAGAACAAAAAGAGATTCTGCACATGTGATGGAGTATCTCAATGGGATGAAGCTGCTAGAATGAAACTGTAGTACAAATAGTTGTGCACTAGTGTATGCTACCATACATCAAAGGATAGGCCTAGCCCTGGCTTTGTACATCATTGTCTGTGTGATCTGTGGAGAGTATAAAAATCGTTTCATCCTTGCTTGAACTTCGTTTAGTTTTGCAATTTCCTTCTTTACCACCCTTTCCAACAAGGGTTTGAAATTCTTGTATGCACATGAGTAAACGAAACGACAAACCAACAATGCCTAACACTTTGACTATAGTTGGAGGTTGGAATAGAAAAACTATCTAGCTGTACCTAAACACTTATTAACCCTCGGCGCACATGCGCAGCGAGGGTTACAGTACTTGGGTCGGTGTGTGTCTGTGTGTCTGTTACTCTCAATCTCACTTCTCGGGTGTTTGTTCGTCTCACAAAGGATACCACCTACTGAACGGGCAATGAAGGTCAGAAATTTCGAACGGTTTTCTCTGAAAACGCTCCGTTGCAAAGCTAGAGCGCGAAAAAGCCAATATGCAAATATACAACGGCTTACTACGGCATGATCGACCCGCGTGCTCTGCGTACCTCGGAGTCACCAGAAGATGCAACGCAGGGCGTGTATCGCCTCTCGCATGCTATCTAGTAGTGTAGTTAGACCGCGTCAGACTCTGCGTGAGCTGGCAAGAGACCACGAGTAACAGCTAAAGCTAAACCCAGCCCATCAATTAGTGGTACGGCGCATGCGTTTACTTACGATTGTGCGTCTCAGTTCGCCGAGGGTTTGCACTTCAGTGCTTTTCATTTACACTGTTCCCATTCAAGTAATGGTGGTGGTCTGTGGGGTGGTCTGATGGATAAGCACCCCCTCTCTTGATCGTGAGGTCCCTGGTTCGATCCCAGGTGTGTACGCCTTTTTTACAATGATGTAATAGGAGTGTTGGTATATATGGAACGTTTTTTCATCACCTCTCCAGGCCAGCCTGAGTGGCTAGGTGGCTAGGTGGCTAGGTGGTTAGAGTCGTGGGGACTGACACCATAGGTGCGGGGTTCGTATCCCGATCCCGCACTGAAAGTGTCAGGTGATCCAGAGCATTGGCTGGGAACAGCTCTGGTTCCTCCCCTTACCCACAAATCTACCACTGACCCATGTTTCTCAAAGGGCAGCGTACAGTTCGGCATAGCACTGCTTCCGTTGACGTCTGTCTGGAGAGATGAAGGGCTGGCCGTTTTTTTTTTTTTTTCCAACCTTATAAAAAGGTTGGCAATTTTTCAACCTTATATATTTTTTTGCCCTCAAACAGATATAGCGGCTGGCCATTTTTTTTCACCTATTGATAATATTCCATGGAAATGGTGCATAACATGCTGATGCATGGTGAAGACCATCAATTGTGGTGGTGCCACACTTGTGTATGGGATTTCTATATAGTGTGCCGAGCGTTTGCACTTTAGTGCTTTTCATTTTTCTAGCAATTTCCTTCTTTACCAACAAGGGTTTGAACAGTTTTGCATTTGTTGTATGCACATGAGTAAACGAAACGACAAACCAACAATGCCTAACACTTTGACTATAGTTGGAGGTTGGAATAGCGATACTATCTAGCTGTACCTAAACACTTATTTTTGTAGCAATTTCCTTCTTAACCAACAAGGGTTGAATAGTTTTGCATTTGTTGCACGCACATGAGTAAACAAAACGACAAACCAACAATGCCTAACACTTTGACTATAGTTGGAGGTTGGAATAGCGATACTATCTAGCTGTACCTAAACACTATTTTCTGTGCAATTTCCTTCTTTACCACCCTTTACACAAGGGTTGAAAGTTTTGCATTTGTTGCACGCACATGAGTAAACAAAACGACAAACCAACAATGCCTAACACTTTGACTATAGTTGGAGGTTGGAATAGCGATACTATCTCGCTGTACCTAAACACTTATTTTTCTTGCCTTTTCATTCTTTACCACCCCTTCCGACAAGAACTATAGCACAAAGAAGAGAATGTGCTGTATACCTGTAAACCCAGCCCATCAATTAGTGGTACGGCGCATGCGTTTACTTACGATTGTGCGTCTCAGTTCGCCGAGGGTTTGCACTTCAGTGCTTTTCATTTACACTGTTCCCATTCAAGTAATGGTGGTGGTCTGATGGATAAGCACCCCCTCTCTTGATCGTGAGGTCCCTGGTTCGATCCCAGGTGTGTACGCCTTTTTTACAATGATGTAATAGGAGTGTTGGTATATATGGAACGTTTTTTCATCACCTCTCCAGGCCAGCCTGAGTGGCTAGGTGGCTAGGTGGTTAGAGTCGTGGGGACTGACACCATAGGTGCGGGGTTCGTATCCCGATCCCGCACTGAAAGTGTCAGGTGATCCAGAGCATTGGCTGGGAACAGCTCTGGTTCCTCCCCTTACCCACAAATCTACCACTGACCCATGTTTCTCAAAGGGCAGCGTACAGTTCGGCATAGCACTGCTTCCGTAGACGTCTGTCTGGAGAGATGAAGGGCTGGCCGTCCAACCTTATAAAAAGGTTGGCAATTTTTCAACCTTATATATTTTTTGCCCTCAAACAGATATAGCGGCTGGCCATTTTCACCTATTGATAATATTCCATGGAAATGGTGCATAACATGCTGATGCATGGTGAAGACCATCAATTGTGGTGGTGCCACACTTGTGTATGGGTTCCACATTTCTATATAGTGTGCCGAGCGTTTGCACTTTAGTGCTTTTCATTTTTCTAGCAATTTCCTTCTTTACCAACAAGGGTTTGAACAGTTTTGCATTTGTTGTACGCACATGAGTAAACGAAACGACAAACCAACAATGCCTAACACTTTGACTATTGATGGAGGTTGGAATAGCGATACTATCTCGCTGTACCTAAACACTTATTTTTTTGCCTTTTCCTTCATTACCACCCCTTCCGACAAGAACTATAGCACAAAGAAGAGAATGTGCTGTATACCTGCAAAGTAAGAAAAAGCCAGAAACAATCTCCAGGGGTTATCCCCCAGAGATGGTTTTCGTCCCTTATGTTTATAGTGGGAGGACTCATCAGCTGGCCCCACTCTATTATTACTGGACACACAAAACTGGTATGGTTTGTGTCTGGCTCTTCCTATTACCATTTTGTGTGTGTTAAACAGTAACTTCATCACTTCAATTATTGATGATCTACTCTGGTTAGGAGAGAAAGGGTGTAAATATAAAGTTAGAAACATTGTCTAGTTGTTTCCTGGGTAAACAGATGGTAGTAGGGGTAAGGGGATAAAAGAACAGCAACAACTGTGAGTAAACGTGGACCAGGTTGCAGTTGTTGCTGTGGTGGCTCACTAGATGACTAAGTCATTTTCCGAGTGGCTCTAGTGACTCAACGACTGTTCACTGTTCCTAGGGACTGTAGTGAATTACAGTGTTAAAGCAACAGAGTTAAAGAAAAGTTTCAGCGCCATCTCAGGAGCAGCCTTATACATGCAGTGAAAAGGTTGGGTCTTCACAGGGAGACTCCACGTACATAATTATTCAGAGCATATCAGAAGAGTAGCACAATTAGACATCACACCTTGCACATAGACAAAAAGTCTGGCATTGCTATAAGGCTAAACCTACATGTGGCGATCAGGCTCAACCAATACAAGGGGTTTTGCCAGGAAAGGTGAAGTGGACAAGTCTGATGTTGCATGAGTCTTACACCATGACATCAACTGGACAGTGTTTAATATGAAGTAAGAGAGAATTAGGTGAAGTGCAGTAACTACAACTATAGAGAGAGCCAGCAATGCCAGGATAAGGCCAAGCTGTTTTACATAATTATGTGAGCTTATCAGAAGCCAGGTTGAGACAAAGGAGGGGTTAATTAAGTTGCAACCAACCAGCCACAGCTGATCATTGCCCAATATGGTAACAACACCAGATGCAGAGA